AGAATACATCGTACTGTATCGATGTTTTCATTTGAAATATGAATTTTTGAAAATCAATAAGTCTCAAATAATTTTGTATGACAGAGACAATAAATTGAATTATAAATGAAAACACTGAATAGATAAATTTACATTAATTTACAATTCTTAAATTCATTAACTAGCAGAATATGCAAATTCTCTGCTGTCAAAATAATGAATTAATTGATGAATATTGATGAGTATTAAGTATACTACAACTTATATTAACCATCAGTAAATAATAAAATTATTTATATTAACTTTGAAAATTAAACATACAGTAATTAATTGATCTGAATTGAAATGAATAAATTAATTTGCATGAATATTGATTGTACAACAAAGAACTGATTTATATTAACTATCAAACACAAAAACAATGAGTCCATTTGCAATGACATTAACATTAAGCATTAAACATAGAATAATGAGTTTATTTTCATTAACATTGAACATTAAACACACAACAAAGAGTTCCTTTGCATTAACATTAAGCATTAAATATAGCATACAATAACGAATTGCACTAACACTAAGAACCACGCATACTATAATGATTCTCACTTGCATTTAGATAAGTACTAAACAGCTATAATTGATGACAATGATAACAATGAAATAATAATTATAAAAGACATAAAATTATGAATTGATTTTATTAAGATTATTCATTAAGCATACAATAAACATTTGATATACATTAACATCAAGCAATCTACAATAATTTAATTTACACTAACATTAATAATTAACCATACAATTGTGAATCCATTTATTTACAATAAACATCAAGCATGAAGCGATAAATTAATTTATACCAACCTATTATTATATTTGTTTATCGTTTATTTTCCATTTTGTTTTTTTTTTTTTCATTTTTTTTTAATCCAAAATTCATTTAATGTTTCATATGTGATACAAACTTATAGACAGGTGTTTATGAATATATCTGCATATTATCATAAAAAGAAACGAAGACGACAAAGTTTTCTTTGGAAAGAATTCGGTATTCGAAATAAATCAAATATGCAAAGTAATCCTGAAACGGCTTAAAAATGAGCTTTTTAAATGAAATATACATGAAAGCTTGGAAAAATGTTTCAGAAGTGGTCTATTTTGGTTGAAATGGAAAGATAACTTCAATATCATCCTGTATTCTATGCTACTCCACTGAACAACAATTTGTGTTTTTGAAATTTTGTTGCAAAATTTATTTTTTCATGATAAGTGATAATTTATGATAGAACATGATAATTTATGATGGAAGATGATAATTTATGATTAAAATATTTCCACTGTTTTTTTTTTTATTTTGGATTTTTTAGGTTTGAAAAATTAAATTCATTTCAGTGATAAAATTTGATAATATGAAGAAACAAAAAATTTTAGGAAAAAAAACTATGAAAATATCCATTCTAATTTTAACGCTTAATGTATTCATTTTACAATCTCTTAAATTAATTAATCAATTAACTAATTAATTAATTAATCGTTTTACATTTATTGTTTTATAGTGTGTATACATATAGAAATTTTCTTTAGAAAGAAAAAAAACTTTAAGGACAACAATTTTAATAAGAAAATTATTTTTAATAGGCTGTCATCTGCTTTCATTAACATTGCAAATGATAATTCATTCTAAGGGACTGATGAAGTGATAAAACATGATACCACTGATTGATAATTGTAATTGTTAACCTTTTAAATCTCGAAATGATAACCTTTAGCATAACAACCGATGATATCAATAATAAAGTTTTTTGTTATAAAATAATGTCTCTACTATGTTTCGCTGTCCGAAATACTTCTAAAAATCATCAGTGATTTAAATAAACTTATACTATGGCTAAAGTTGATAAGAAGATAGTAATTAATTGATTGCATTGGTCGAAGGGAAAATTAAAAAGTAAACAAAAAAAAAAAAAACGAAAAACGAAAACAATTAGTTGTAGGCATTTAATTGTATTACATTTTATTAATTTTTTTTATCGAAGCTAATATTTCTGTTAACTTTTAGATAATTATAAAATTCCATAAAAGTGCCGTAATTTTATACTTTATAATTTTATAAACTTAGCTTTGATTTAGTATATTAAAAAATCAAAAAAAAAAAATCACAAATACTGCACCAATAAAATTAATTAATCAATTGGCTGTTGCGAATAATTTAGTCTCAAATCATGCAGTAATTAGGCTTAAGCATAATTAAGAAATAAGCTTAAATAACTTCAAACAAAGTAATCAAACAGAGTATGTCTCAATTAGTGGATGTATAGAATCAGCTAAAAATTAAAAATTTCAAAATTGAAAAACACAAATTTAAACAAAATATATTATCCATTTAAAAATAGAAGAAAGCTATTTAAAAAACGATTAGTTCAAGTGTGACTTCATTTCATTTTTTGGAAACTTTTTAATTTTTAAAAATTTTCACTCTTTTCTAATTTGCACCTATCCGGCATAACGTAAAATTTAATTATTGGTATAAAAGTTTCATTGGATGAGATTCAAATAATTTCATTTCTTCCTAATTTCTTTGTCGATACTGTAAATAAAATGGATGAAAATAATGAAAGTCAAAAGTAAGAATTATAAAAAACAAGGAATAACAATTTAATTTCATTCTAAATTCTATATTTCTTATCAGTGTATTAATGTCACTTTGATTTTAATCTGTCAAAAATTTTTTTAATTCTAAGTTAATAATTACTGAAGTGTATTCTTCAAAGAAAACTGATTGTTTACAGTAATTTTTTAGCTTAATATTAAATTTGTTTTCTTTTTTTTTTTTTTTTTTTTTTAAATTCATTTGATTTAATTTTATTTAAAAGCAAAACAATCTTTGCATTTTTTTTATTTTGGTAACTCAAATTTTTCGAATATTCTTGATAATAATGTTGGATTTATCTTTGCGATAATTTAACATAATAAAATCGTTTTGTATTTTACAACTGAAATAGAATTAATAAAACCTAAAATTTAAAATAAAAATTTAATTTATAGGAAAAATTTTGTCTTTTTCATTCTTCCCTTTTTTTCTGCTACTACTTTTTACTAATTGCAATATTTTTCATCAATTCTGGCCACCAATCATTTCCAATTTTCCATTATCTCAAAAAAAAAAAAAAGAAAAGAAAAAAGAAAAAAATAAATCAGGAATAGAAGATATAACATCTTTCATTTGCTATAAATTAAATCTCACTACTAAATCAAACACCGCCCGGCTCACTTGTCACTATTTCCCAAGCAAACAAAAAAAAGAAGAAAGAATGAACAAATCATTTTTTCCATTTTTCCGCATGTATTTCTTTCTTTTTTCTAAAATCTCTTTTTTTTGTTATTTCAAAATATTTTTAATTTGTTAAAGGCTAACAAATAAATTGTTGATTTATTTAAAAACTAATAAAATTTGATTGAGTAATTTATTGAATACATTTGATAATATGATGTTGCTATACATTTTTTGAAAAAAAAAAAAAACAATTTAAGATTGATTACAGTAAAATTAATAAATTCGACAAATAAAAATCAAAAAAAAAACGAAAGAAATTTTCGGTGAACTCTTATAAAATACATGTTTATTTCATTTTTGGATAGCAAATCAAATAATTTATGAACAAATTTTGGTTTTTTAATTTGCCAATATTTTACAATATTTGTTGTACTTAAAATTTATTACCAAAGTAAAATTAATGTGCTTTTGGATTTTGTATTTAAAAAATAAATTTAATTAGCATAATTAGTCGATTTTTTACACGATCCTTATCAGCTAATCCTTATTTCCTCCATAGAATCCCAAATAATTTTTTTTTTTCCAATTTTAAAATAGACAGTACAAATTGTTTCTTTCAACTTTGTTTATAACTTTACACTTTATTCTTTTTAATTTCTTTTGAAAAAGTTAAACATTCATTTTTCGACCTTGCATATATTGAAGATTTATTCACTCATATATGTTAATCATTTTTTTTTTTTTTGAATTTTTATTTAATCACTGATCATATTTATAAAATAAAATTGTGTTACATTCTAAATTGTACCTTAAACGATTCTATTCAAATCGTTGCTTAATTAGCAAATTATCAGTTTCAATTCAGTGTTTATATTCCAACTTAGAATCGAAGAATGAGATATGATTAGATATCATTAACACATTGGTCAGTTATTATAATTTCCACCAATATTAATCGACAAGAATTGAAACGTTTATGTTCTAGCATATAATAGCATGATATTTCAAATCATTATCATGATTTCTGGAAGAAATTTATTCTTGATATAACTGAAATATACTAACTTACGGTAACTTATAAGAAAGGCAAAAAAAAAGATTAATATATCCATTATTATCCTTCTCATATGCATTGATTGAGATTAAATTACTATTGTCATTTCCTATAAGCTAATCTAATCATTGTAATTATCATTATCACAAACATTCTTCTTGCACCAATGACAATAATAGTAGCATAATTTTACAAAAAAAAAAAAAAAAAAAAATACAGAAGAAAAGATTGAATTTTCCAACTATGTTTGACGATGTAAATGAATGATTTTTCTTCTTTTTTTGGCCTTTAAACAGTTCTTTTATAATAAACTATCACTGAACTTTTTCTTCAACTTTTTAAAATTTAAAACTATTTAAAAAATAAATCGATTATAGCTGTAATACTTGATATTATTACATTAATCAATAAAAAAAAGTAAGTGAAGAAGGAATGAAACGAATTGAAATGATATGTATTTGTTTAGTTGCTTGTTTATTGTTATCATAGAGATTGAAATAAAAACAATTTTTTTGTCCCTTAATTTTTATAAACTTTAAAAGATTATTTAATTAATTATTATTATTATTGTGGTTCTTTACTTTGCAAATCATAAATTATTTGAAAAGTAATATTGATTTTTTTTTGTATCGCATTAAAAATATAACATTAAAAATGTAACAATTTTTAGCAGTCAATTCAAACTTCTAAATTATGATCGAATATGATACAACAACAACAACAACTGCAGCAACAACAACAACAACTGCAACAATAACAACAACGACAACAATAACTACTACTACAACTACAACAACTGCGACACATGCAATACCTCATATTCTTAATATTCATGTTCATTTGGATGATAATGAAACACCAATTAAAGCGGTCTTAGATGAAACAAAATGTGAGAGAAGATTTTTAAAAAATAAGAAAATTAATTAAAAGGCAAATTTGTGAATGAAAAATAATTTATAGTAAATTTATTTTGCAGATAGAAAAATTTTCATATTTATTTTTAACAATTTTTTTTTTGAAATAACTATGGAATAAAAAAAAAGTTCTTTCTCTTTTTTTCAAAAAAAAAAAACAAGATAAAATATTTGGAATTTTCATCTCGAATCGATACGTTTCGAATTGTTTTGCATAATTTTTCATCTTTCTGTTTTTGTTTCAGCAACAAATTTCTTTTCAATCGATCAACAACATCGTTCTGATAGTACTAAAAAAATGACAAAAATATGCATTACACCACTTGGAGATACTCTAGCAATGGATACAATTGATACAGGTTTATAATAAATAATTTTTAATTTCTTTTATAAATTAATGAATTTGTTAAAATTATTTACTTTTTTCTTCTTTTTTTTTTTCATTCGAAAATTATATGTTAATATTTATTAATGATTATCTGTTATTAAATTAATAAATAAATATTATTTTGATAAATTATGCTATTCTTATATACATGTTTATGTAAAAATTACCAAATTGTAATTTGTTAAAATTATATTTTAAAAAAAAATGAAATTGTTTTAACATTTATTAAAATGAGTCATTTAATCTTTAGTATCTTTTTCATCAACAACAATGCAAACTCAAATTTCACCAACAATTTCAACACTTTTACATCAACAGCCTCGATCAGCATCAATATCAATGCTACGTGATAAATGGGCTAGCAAGGTGGAATTTATGCTAGCAGTGATCGGTTATGCGGTTGATCTTGGCAATATATGGCGATTTCCATCAACATGTTATAAATATGGAGGAGGTATTCAAATTATTTTCTTTCTCCTTCTCTCTCTCCCTCTTTCTCTCTCCCTTTCTCTTTCATTCTTTCTTTCATAAGATATAATTTAAAATGAGTAAATTTTAGTATTAATTTTTGCTTTGTTTCAATATTATTTATTAATGTCTAACAAAGAAATGTATTAGAACTTCTTATGTTTTGTAAATAACAGAAAAAAAGATTAAAAAATTTTTTTCTCAAATATGCATAAATTCACGGATAGTTTAACAAAATAAATCTTTTTAAATAATAATTTGCTTAAATTTATTTATTATAAAGTTCAATTGCTAATTTTTATTATTTTTTTCCTTTGTTTTTCATTCGAAAATCAGATAAATTAGAATGATTTGAATGAAGGAAATATGCTATTAAGAAAACTTGAAATAACATAAGAATTTAATCTATTCTAAATATAAGTCATATTCAATATATTTAACAAAAAAAAAAAATTGATAATTATTTAGCATTAAATGAAAGTAAAATAAAAAATAATAACAGTGGAAATACTTCATAAATAAATTTCAATGATAAAGACATATAATTAAACAGTAGATCAATCAGCTAATTAATTAATCAAACAAACAGTAAAACTATTTTAGGTGCATTTTTGATACCATATTTGATTATGCTCTTCATTGGTGGTTTACCGGTATTTTATATGGAATTAGTCCTTGGTCAATTTCATCGTTCTGGTTGCATAAGTATTTGGAAAAAGATTTGTCCAATGTTCAAAGGTAAGATTTATCTCTTTTTTCAACAAAACATTAATTCATTATTAAATTATAAGTTAATTATAATTCTAAAACTAATAAATAACTTCTCAATTATTAAAATGATTTCAATTAATTTAATTTTCGCAGTTTTAAATTAATTAATTTGAACTTACAATTAAGTTTTAGTTATTATCAAAATAATTTCGACTAATTTAATTCATTCTATTTTCAATAAATTAATTTGAAATTAAATCAAACGATTTATGTCTTATAAGTCTTTATTAAATACTTCAAATAAAAAAACAATGAATGCTTTTCTTAATTAGCAAAATAATTTCATTTAATAATTTGTTCTGTTTTAAATGAATTAATTCAAAATTATGAAAAAAGAGTTTATTACAGGTATCGGTTATGGTATATGTTTCATATGTACCTTTATTGCTTGCTTCTATAATGCAATTATTGCGCACGCCTTATACTTCTTGTTTAAATCTTTACAGGTAAAAAAAAAATTCATCAAAATAATTTTCATTACATTTTTAAATTATTGTATAAAATTTTCATCTTAAAAAAGAAATGAAATATAAATCGATTAATTTAAGAATATTCAAGCAATAATACAATTAGTCAAACTATTTTTTCTTAATTAAATTTAACAAAATAAAAATTGAAAATGCTTGCTTCATCTTCTAATGGTGTAATAAGTACAAAGTATTATCAGTAAGTATCATTCGTTGTAATGAAAGAAAAAAAAAAATTCCATTACCAACTTCATTTTTTCGTTACATTTACAATTAATGAATTGAAGTTGCCACACTAAATTTGTATTCTCATTTATTATTATTATTGCCATTATAATTGTAATTATTACTATTATTATTATTATTGTTATTGTTGTCACTGCTATTATTATTAATTATTATTTCTTTTTCTATTACATTTATTATTTTGGTAGCATTTTAGTCGGAAGTACCATGGAAAACATGCAACAATCCATGGAATACACCGTTATGCGCAATTAGTCTAAATGGTTCAAATAGTGCAGTTGCAATCAATGAAAGCAATCAATTGAATGGAAAATTAAGGACACCATCTGAGGAATTCTTCCTGTTCGTTTTAATTAAATTAAAATTTTAGTAATTAGAGTCTCACTTAAAAACTTTATTTTATATTCATTTAGAAACACATTTCATGACTGTTATATTAAAAAATTCATGTCAATTTCAAAATACTTTTTATTCTTTTGTTGTTGTCAAGCATTAAAATGTCTTGCGTTATTTTCATTCAATTTAACTGAATTTAATTCTCATTTTGAATTCTAATTTCACATAGAAATGAAATTGTGCACACTTCGGCATTCATAATGTTTAAATAATTTTTGAGATATAACTTTTTTCTTTTTTGAATTTAATTAAAGTTAAGAGATTGAACAGCTCAAGCTAATATTTGATATGTGACAAATATCATAAATGATTAATCCATGAATTGTGATTTGATTATATAAATTTAAAAATAAAGGAATACTCTATTGATTTCAAAGAACTAAAAAAATGCTTAGATTCTTTTTTTTTTTTTTTTTTTTTTTCAGATTTAATGTATTGGAAGAAAATTATTCCAGTGGTTTTAATGATCTTGGTGGTATTAAGCCATCGTTAGCTTTATGCCTCACTATTGTTTTTATTCTTGTTTATTTTGCTCTCTGGAAAGGACCGCGAAGTAGCGGGAAAGTATGCTTTTCTTTATATGTTCAAAAAGTTTTCATAAAACAATAAAAGATACCCATGAAAGTGATAAATTTTGAATATTACTACATCTAAGAGTAAATAAATGTACTGAACATAGATCAATCTTATCTCTAAGTAATAAGATAATTGATTGTATAAGGTAATTAATTAATGAAAATAATTCACTATAATCAAATATATATTCAATTAATTTCTATTTCTTTTCTTTGAATTTTATAGTCAAATATTAAGAAAAAACTATCGAATGAACTAATAACGTATTCTGCAAAAAAAAAAAAAAAAATGCTTTGAGCTATAGATGGCTTGAAATTGAACGTCCAGTATTCATGAATAGATCAATTATTGATTAAAATAATGAAATAATATGTCTTTTATTAAATATTTAATGTGTACTGTCTAAAAGACATATAATTATTACATATTGATATTTTTCAGTTCAATAATTAACCTTAATTAATTTCAAAAATTTTACAAGATTTAAAATCAATTAAGAAAGAAATTTAGTGTGTATGGATAACAGCCACTGCACCATACATAATTTTATCAGTGTTATTCGTCCGTGGAATCACTTTACCTGGTGCATCAGCTGGAATATATTATTATTTGATGCCAAATTTTAAAATGCTTCTTGATATCGATGTTTGGACAGCAGCTGCCACCCAAATTTTCTTTTCACTTGGCCCTGGATTCGGTGTATTACTTGCATTAAGTAGTTATAATGATTTTCGAAATAATTGTTATCGGTATACTCATTTTTTTCATTTTAAATTATTTTTCATTTTTATTTACAAAAACTATTTAGAAAAAGCATTATGATTTTATTTGAAAAATATATTATGCATAACTTGAATGCATACATATACATATAAAAATATATGCATAATTTGCAACATATATAAATATAACCTGGATATTACTTTAAAATTATTATTAATTGGTATTCTTAATTGCATGTCATATAAATTATAATTATTTCCTTATAAGCTATCATTTGTAAATATTAATTATTAACACATGCAGGGATGCACTGGTAACTTCATTTATTAATTGTGGTACTTCATTTTTTGCTGGTTTTGTAATATTTGCAACTCTTGGCTATATGTCAACCATAACTAATTTACCGGTTAATGAGGTAGTAGGCGATAATGATGCTAATATCATCTTTATTGTCTATCCACAAGCAATTGCTACAATGTCATATGCAAATTGTTGGTCTTTCATATTTTTTGTCATGTTAATTACTCTTGGCATCGATAGTACGGTAAGTATTACTGTAAGTTTTTTTACGTCACTATGGTAGACATTTTCTATGGTATTATCGTAAACTTTTTTTGTGTACTTCACTGGTGCTATTAAGATGTTTAAATATTTAATAATAAAAATTATTGGAAAATTTAAAAATTTTCAGTTTTTTTTTAAGAAAAAATGATGAAAAACACTTAAACATATTATTTTAAGACTTAAAAAAATGCCACATGTATGAAGTGCTTAAGGTTTTTTAATGTTCACCGTCATTTTTTTCATCACAAAATCATTAAAACTTTTTATTTGTAAAAGAAAACTATTTTTTAGTTCAGTGGAATTGAAGCATTGATTACGGGATTCTGTGATGAATATCCGGAAATGCTAATACGGAGACGTGAAATATTCGTGGGTATCGTAATCGTTGCCTATTATTTTGGTAGTCTTCCAACTATTACTTATGTAAGCATTAGCTAATTCCATCTTTTCTACTCTTTCGCTAACTGTTTATTTAATTGAAAGATATAACCAATTTTTTAAATACAACAGCTATAAAAATTGCAATATATATATATATAGTAATGTTTAAATATAGCAATATTGATTAATTTTAGTTGATCCTAAAAATTAATACTTCATAAATTATTTGTCTCTCACATAATTAGTTGCAATGAAATAAGCAGTAATACATAATTACAACAATATTGGTTAATTTTAACTAATTTTAAAAAGTATTTAGTACTCTATTTCATAAATTAAATGAATTAAAATTCATTTAAGGGAGGCAAATATATCATATCATTCCTTGATGAATACGGTGTATCATTATCAGTATTATTTATTGTAATGTGTGAAATGATTGCCGTTTGCTGGTTTTATGGAATACAACAATTTAGCCAAGATATTCAACAAATGCTTGGCTTTTATCCAGGATTATATTGGAGAGTTTGCTGGACATGTTGTCCAGTTGTCATCACTGTAAAATTCTTTCTTTCATTTTTTTTTTCTCACAAACTTAGAAAATCTTTAAATGGTCAGAAGATGGTAATCATTTATAGAGAAGCATTTCAGTATGAGTTATTATTGTTTATTAAAAAAAAAAAAAAGCAATATTCATAATTACAATTTGTAACAGTTAGAAAATTTCAATTAAGAATAATGGTTCTTTAATTTCAAAAAATTAAAATTAAGATAAAATTTAAAATCCTACTTTTTTTTCCGTTTTTTAGACAATATTCTTATTGACCATTTATAAAACATCACTGGAACCGATGACCATTGGGTCGTATACATATCCACAGTGGAGTGCTTATTTTGGATGGTTTCTACGTTTAACATCAATTCTCAGCATTCCATTCTTTGCAATCTATTATTTCTGCATTGCTAAAGGAACCATAAAAGAAGTTAAAATTTGAAATTTTTGCATATTTTTTAGTAAAAATTTTGAGTCACGCTTAAAAAATTAACGTCAAATGGATGCTGATAGACTGTAAGAAATAATGCCAAAATTATGATATAATATATTTTAAAAAGTTAAAGCAAAATAAAATATTGCTTATTAATTAATTAAGTTTATTACTATCTCTTTTTTATTGATTATCCTCCATTTTTTATTTTTTTGAGAGTAACAATTGAAATATTGCGATAAATGACATTTTTATTGATTACAATGAAATTACAAAACTAGAGTCAAATTTTTGAACTTAAACCTTATTATAAAGTATTCATTTAATATTATGTTTAAACAATTGCATTCCAATTCTTTCAACTCAAAATTTTAATTTTATTAAATTTTCAATTTAAAAAAATAATAAACTACTTGGAAAAAATTCAGCGCTGGCAATTTCTGATAAAACCACAACAAAGTATCTATTCTCAGACATCATCAATAGCGCCATCGACACTGCTGCAACGTGATTTGCCAACCACTGATACCAAGGATAGTGCACCTGATAATAATGAGACTCCAATGGCTACCAATAATACCATCCATTTGTAGAAGATAGTCATTTATCTTTAAAATTTAAAAATATATGGAATAATTTTATTCATATCCTTTCTTTCGCAACTTTTTTTTCATTGCATTTTTCTTAATTTCTTTATTTCATTCAATTGATAAAGGAATTGATAAAAAAAAAAAAAAAAAGAAAAAAAAAAAGGAAAAACTGTTTATCTTATCAATGATGTTAAGTTGAAAAGAAAAAGTTGCATATAAGAAATAGTTGAAAGTTATTAGTTGGATTAATTTAAATAAAAAACTCTTAAGTTGTTAATTATATTAATTAATTATATGTTTGTCATTAAGCTTCGATGTGCAGCTTGTTTGGTTCTAATGAAAAAAGATCTCTTTTTTTATTATGATTAATAATCATTATTTTTTTTTCAATTCTGTCTTTATTTTTCGTTTTAATGTTTTATAAAATTAAAAAAAAATGAAATTTGTTCATAGATTTTTGATGGATATAATTGGAATTTATTTTTTTTTCTTTGCAAAGAAAGATATCAAAAAATGTTCACTTTATTTTTATAGTAATTTACATTAATTAATTGAATTATATTATCTGAAAAAAAAAAAAAAAAAACTGTTTCAGAAAAAAATTATCATAATTTTAACTCTCATAATTTCAGCTAGTTTAAATTATGATCTGAAAAAAATTTTCAGTTATTTTTTTCGCTGTTATTGTTTTTTTTTTGTCATTTGTTGCAAGCTATCATTATTAAATGGTAATTTATGAAATGTTAATTGGAAATATTCGTCAATCCAATCAAATTAATTATTAAAAAAATTTTGACTAATATATTTTTGTTAAAAATATTGCTTGAAAAGTTTAAGTCAAACCAAGTACAGGTATCAAATTATTTGAAAATAAATTATTAAGATAAAAAAAAAAATTAGATACTTCAACTTTCTTTTTTGTTTAGATTTTGTTCCGCAAAAATTATTTCTTATTGAATATTTTTCTCGAAAAGTTAATTAATATGAAAATTTCTTGTTAAGTAATATGAAATGCATTTTTATTTATATCTTTTGCAATATCTTTTCTTTTTTATCTATTCTTTTGCATATCTATATCTTATATATCTTTTTGATTTCGATTCCAACTTTTATTTTTGCATAATTCTCCCAGTGTTAAAATAATTAATTCATACATAAGTGTGTTTTTAATGTGTTTATTAAGATATTCTTTTTTTATTTATTTAAAAGTTTTTCTTTTATTGACATTTTTTTAAAACTTTTCTTTAATATAATAATAAAAAATGTTGTATCTTCCAAAAGAACTAATCAAAAAAAAAAGAATGAATTCAGCTTTATCATTCATTAAACTGAAACTTTTATAATCTTCTATTTACATTTTATTGTGAGTAATAATAACTAAGATAAATGGAGAGAATATTAATTAATTGATAAAGGAAAATTTTGATTAACAAAAAAACTTTTTTAATTTTTGATATAATTGTTTGAAATAATTTCAAAATTCAACCACAAGAAATTAAGATCTCTAAGTCAATTTATTTCTTGGTTATTAAACATCTCTGCAAGTGTAAATTTTTTTCTTTTATCGTCACTGATAAAATTTTAGCTTATCATATGAAAAATTTTAAGAATTTTTTTTCTTAAAATTTTAAGAAAAAAAAATTTAAGAAAAAATTTTAAGATGACTGATGTAACAATATACCTTCAAAATCAAAAAAATTTTTCAGAGTATTACATTTATAAATTATATGTTTCATTAATCTGACATGCAAATTTCAATATATTTATTGAATCAAATTTTTAAAAATTGTTTGTTGCTTTCTATGACTCTTTTTTCCTAATCTATATTAAAGGTAATCACGTTTTAAACGTTAATTCAAAGTTAGTCTTTCATAGTTACAATTGTCGTACTAATTACATTAATTTTGATTCAAATATTTTTGACTTATCTTTTCATTTTTTACATTAATCAATCAAATTAAATCTTTTTTTCTTGCTTATTTTTAAACACTTTTTATTCGGAAGGAAAGAAATCTCAACAGCAACGGAAACTTTATTCGATTTCAAATGATAGATAATTTAAATTAGAACAATTTTCTGTTAATGGGCTATTTTGCGCAAATTTTTACGTTTCACATTGTTCCCTATGGTATAGTAATTAATTAAATTAATTAATTGTCTTAGACAAATAACTCTGTGGAAATTATTTTGAGTAAATTAGAATTGATCTGTGTACTTATTTATTCGAATTATTAATATCATTCATTTTTTTTTTCTTGACCGTCCAAATTATCTACTTTGTTCTTCTTTATAGTGTTAATCAGTCAAATAATCAGTTAATCGAATTCTACAGATATCGGATTTGATCATATCAATCTATTGATTTGATCTTTATTTCACACTATTTGTATTATAGAAGTGATAATTGATGAATGATTGTGTGGTATGTTTTCGAAGTTATTGAATTTTTATAAAACGAACTTGTAGTATTTGCTAATTTGTATATAACATTTCTATTTAACACAAATTGTTGTCACATCAGTGTCACATTTCGACCGATCACATAATATTAGGTAATTAACTATATATTATGCATATCAGTAATTAGTCTTCCAGGTTTTACTTCATTAAGTCAACAGTGATGTTTAACAATCTTATCTGCTTTATATGTAACGGACGAATAATAATGGAACAAATTTCAATGTTACATTCATGTGGTCACGCATTTCACTATCAATGCATTTTACATTGGATTAGAGTAATTTATTAATAACAATTATTATTAGTTTGAGTAATTCATTTAATTCTTGTTATCGATATTATTATTATTATTATGAATATCAATATTTATTATTATTACTATTATTATTTGAGTGAGTCATTTAAATATTATTTGGTTCTTTCTTTGAAATAGTTTTATCTCAAATGATTCTTTCAAAAATGCATTTACTATTTGCTTTTCTAATTTATCTTTAAAAATTGCAATTGTTCTAATTTTTTTAGGTTTTTAAAAAATGTCCGATATGTTTTATGCCAAAAAATGAATGCAATATTGTTAAACAATTATATTTTGTTACTGATGAAGAAAATCAACAAAAAGAACGAAGCAATTATTCACCTTTACCACGAAAAAAAGTATTCATTAATCTTTTTTTTTTTTTGCAAGTTGAAAAATTAATGAATCACAATTGCAAATAGTTAAAATTTAAAAAACTGTATCAAAGCAAATTATTAAATCATTTTTATTATTTATGCAATACGATTACTTGGTGAAAATATATATATTTTTATAAAGAAACAAAATGAGCTTAAGAAATTGAAATTAAAATTTTATTTTTTAAAATTAAATTTTTGAATTAAAATTTTAAAATTATAAATTATAATATTGCATATAATATTGCACAATATTGCAATATTGCAATTATAATATTGCAAAATTATAAATTATAATATTGCATAAATTATAATATAAATGTTTAGATTAAAGGTAATTTGGACGATTTGCGAAGTGATAATGCACTTTTTCGTAAGCAAAGAGCAGAAGCTATCAAAATTATAGATGAAATAAGAAAACTGAAAGAACGAAAGATTTCCAAAATCAGTGAATGCTACAAGAGAAATACAGGTTAAATTTTTTTTTTCATTTTATAATGAAACTGAAAAATATTTTCAAATTTTAAATTTCATCCATTTGAGCGATTAACTTGAACCATTTCATTCTATTTACATGAAATAAACAAATGTCGGAAAAGTTGTAAATTTCAGGAAAAATTTCCTTATGTCTTCGTTTTTTAAATGAATTGAAAAATAAGAGAATTTTTTAGTTAACTGATCAAGAAATGTAAGAGCGAATGTGAGAAATGAATTTGTAATTGTGTTTGGATATGGAATACGGAAATGATGAAAATTTATGAATTATTTTATGTTTGAAATTGTTCACTGCTTCAAAATAACTTTTCCGGCACTCATATAGTATTAATTGCATTAATTACTTTTCATACTTATTTCATGCAAATGTGATTATGAATAAATCTTTGAATATTTAAACTTTTGAATAGTTTACTTGGAAAAAGGAAAATTAAAATTTTGCAATGCATACACAAAAAATAATACTTTGTAGTATCAAAAAATTGAAACTATGAATTTCAGTAATTTATTTATTAAAAAGATATAAAAGGATTATTTCATAGGAATGATAGAATTATCTGATAAATTCTAATCAAATAATACAATCAAATAATACAACTTATTGCTAATCAAATAATACAACTTATTTCGTCTTTTTTTTTATTGCTTTCCTTGATTGACAATGATATTACATTAATTTAATTAATGTAGTATCATTAATTTAAGTGGCTTATTTTATTTAATCATTCAGCTTAATTTCTTTTTTTGATGACAATTTTGTATGTGTCATCCATAAAATCTATTTAATAATGACATTTGTAAGTTACATTGGTGAAATCAAATTCGATGTTAACTGCTATTTTTCATTGATAATATAACTTAATATAATATATATAACAGAAAAAAATATATATATAACAAAATTGATCATTTTGGTGGGAATTTTATATTAACTGAAACTTAAAGAATTACTCAATTATAATTTTTCTAAATACGTTTAAATTTACTTAACTTTCTTATGAACTATTCACATAACTTAATTTATATAGAAAATGTGTTATACACTAAATGCATTTGTACGTTCTGTGCAATTTGGCATTTCATATTGATTAGACAATTGTAGATGAGTAACAAATATATTTTAATACAATATTACAATTTAAGATACAATCTAAGCGAGTTTACTTAAGTTAACCTTACGTGATGAACGTATAAATGTAAGTGTAACTTTCACTTACGCTTTTCTATTCTATTATTATATAAAACAAATTTCAAATTACAAATAATTTTATTTCAAGAAATAAAAAGAAAAAAGTAATCTTGAAATAAGCAGAAAAAAACTTGTTAATTAGTTCTCAATAACTTTGCATGCAGATTGGAGCAGAAGAAATAGAGAAACGCATTGCTTAGTTTATGATGAAATGATAATAGAAGATAACATAAAAGTTTTTGATGTAGTAAAGATATATCAACTGATAAGCTCTATCAATTCGTTCATTTGTCACATGTCACATTGTTCCTTCCTTCCTAGCAGTTTCAAGAAAACATTTCTACCCAGTCGTCGCATCAACGAATCATTGGAAAAAGTTTCAGGTGACCATGCACTGGATGTGCACTATTGTCACATCTTGTCAACAATAAAATCATCTTACTATTGTCGCATGAGTAAGTGAATGTTATGCAGTAACTTATCCATTAGCATAAGTCATGTATGTGACATGAATGTTGACAGATAATTAATTAATTGATTGCTTTGGTAGGGCAAAAAACATAATTGAAGTTTACTTGTAGATAACTTTACTTGTAACTTTATAAGTAATAACTTTCATTGATTGGATAATTGGACAATATTCGTTTTCATTTATTCTCAGTTGTATTATTCAGTTCGAAGAATTTTTTTTTTTTATTTGAAATTATTTACAAATAATATTTATATAATTTAAAATATGTATTTATAAAAACGAAGCAAAAATATTGCGAGCGGAAGAATTACAACTGTCTGCCAGACAGCACAATCTTCTGAAATATCATTTGTTGATTTCTTTTCTTAGATATTTTATCAATAAGACACAATTTTAATTCTATTTTATTATTTTAGTTATTCTATCCAATATATACTTTACTCATATTACCCAGAAATCTAACTATTTCCTTGGCTAACTAATAGAAAAAATATTGTCCTCGTTTAATTCCATTTAACTAATTTTATTATTACTGCAACATTTGAGAGCACCAATCTGTAAAAACGGATTTCAATATTGAATGGAATTATGAAAGCCTTACGGAATAATTTGCTTGCTGTTGCTTTAACTTCAGTTAGCTTTCCTTTTCGACCTAAAATCTCAGCTAATTACATTAAAAAAAAGATTATTTAACACTGAAATATGAACGAAACAGGTGGAGAAGAGTTATAATAAATAAAGAAACGATTAATAGAAAAAAGCTTATTAAGTTACTAAATGGATGAAGTAATATTCTTGAAAAATTGTTTTACTCAAATTATATTAAACGAAAAAACAATAATAAAACTAAAAATCTTCTCTGTGTTTAATTTAAAATTGCATTTTCGTGTTTATTTTATAATGAATAATGAATGATCTTGCAAGCTTATTGCTACAAAATGAAATAAAAAAAAAAAAATTTAGTAAGAAAAAGATATTACCGGCAGCCGGATAATCATAATCAAAGTCCTGAAAGCAATAAGCTTTTTAAAATTTCGATTTATAACGAATTAAATTGAAAAGTCTCAGGAAGATATAGTCAAAATAGTTTAAAGAGCTGAGTGAGAACTTTAAACTACAAATGATTCATACACTATAAAAGACAATATTAATTGAAATTCATTCGTTTTTTTTTTCTCAACTTTAATTCTCAACGATAATAAAAAGTACAATTTTAAAAGCTTGCATTTTTTTTTGGTTAATTGAAACTTAAGATGTCACCTTAATTTTACGAATTGGACCGCCTTCTGGAGTCTGAAATTATTAAATCCATTAGTAATTTTATATGTATTATTGGTTTTTTTCTTTATATATTTTAGCTATTTGAATTAAATTTTCCTTCTTTTTCAAATATTCTTCCATGCTCTCTCTATGCTCAACTGTTAAATTAATAAAATTTAAATAAAAATTGATTGAAACAAAGTAATTTGACAATTTCTATCGTTAAACATCAATTCAACGCCATATAATCACACGTAGCGTTAGGTAAATATATTTTCATTTTTTTTTCGATGCAAAAGTATTACAAAATTTAGATCATTACCTTAGAAATGAAATTAAAATTCAATTTTTTAATAAATGTAACGCACATTTTTGCACCATAAAACTGTTGTTATATCATATAAATATGTATTATTAAAGAGGACTTAATTGATATTTATCTATTACCAAAATTTTTGAAAGTGAAATAAAAATGACCTTAGTAGTGTCCAACTTATAACGACATATGATATAATAAGCTGGAAATTGTGAATAACAATCCATATCAAAGCTATAGAACGGTCTGATATACTCTAAAAAATAAAAATAAAATAAAACAACTTTATCTGTTTAAATAATTTTATGCTATTAGCAGGAAATTAAGAAATTTCAAGAACATTTCAATATCTGATATGCAAGCATTTTTGTTCACTAAATTCCTCAGTAATCTTACATTTGTGAATTTTATAGGAAATGAATTTAATAATTTGCAACTTAATTTGATTCAATTTGAAGGATGAAATTTTTCATCAATGTGAAAAAAAAAACGAAAATATGAAAATTATAAATAATCCGAATTTTAATTCAAATATTGTTTATGACGAATATTTTCCAAATAATTATCAATCAATCAATTTTGCATCTATCTATCGAGACGGTTAAAAAGATTAATTATGCAGATTACCTTAGCATGGCTTGAATATGTTTTTAAAATTAACAAAACTTACGTGTTGGCGGAGCATAAAGGAAAAATCGTCTACAATCCTTTTCTCTGAACGATGAAAAATTTGACAATTGTCCCACTCTTAAGAATTCGTCGTAATCAAAAGGTGAATTATCAAACCAATGATAATCTCTATTTATAAATGTTAATCCGATTAATAACGGAAAATCATTCCGGTCAGCATGAATAAGCCATTTATGTCGTTCAAATGCTAAATGGACCATATAACTTTAAAAATTGACAAATAATAATTATTCAAAAAATTGATGTTGAAAATTTGCCAAAATTATTATCATTTTTTGAAATTTGATGACAAAAAAGGAATGCAATAGATGAGTACTTCGATAAAGGAATTTAACGAGTTCAAATTCATCATTATTACGAATTGAAACACTATCCATAATTGGATAATCTGATAACTGTCGGCATACATCTTGATCTGATGTCGCAATCGTTCTCCAATGTTCATTAATTGACGTATTCTTACAAATTCATTCGTACAATTGGTGTGTAAATTATTAAATTTTAAAATATTTTATAGCAACAGATTTTTCAGCTTTAAACTTAGAATAATTCATTGGTTTAACAAACAAGAAATATTAGTAAATTGTGATAAACTTAAAAATGTTTATTTAAGTAAGCTTAATATGACTAGCTATTATTAATTATTCATTAAGATGTGAATTAAGTGAATTTTATATGAGAGGCAAAGAAGAGAAAATGATATGAGATAATAAGTTAAATGTTAGATATGTAATTGCAATATTGAGATAAATTAAAATTGTTTACTTAAAATTGCAAATTGCACGATAAGGTGTGTTGTTGTTATTGTCTAGCATGAAGTAATGATAATTAGACGACAGTTGGAGATAATTTTAAATGTTAAATGTAATAATTGAAGAACTAACACTTCGAGAGATTTTATGAACTAGGTAACAATAAAAATCATCGCCGATTCGTTTCTTGTAAAAGTCGGAACCACAAGAAATATCGCCTAAAATGATTAATGAATATTGCACTGCTTTTTTTTTTTAAATTCATTTTAAAAGCAAGTTAAATTATTAGAAAAACCACAATTTTACATGCTTGCAAGAATTTTGTTATTTATAAATTGAAAAAAGCTTTTAAAATTATTAGCACAAAAAGTTTTCAAACCTTACAATTTATCTTAAATGAGAAAAATATTAAAATTAATGTTTGTTTGAAATAGCAGCTAAATTTAGTAATGCTGTCAATGAAAAGATATGATTTATTATCATAAAATTATGCTTGTTTTCACGGAAGTCACGCATTACGTGTTAGCATGGTGAAACGACCACTTTAATAATACAAATGAATGCTAACTCTCTTCGCAGCGTGTTGAGATAAATATAGTTGTGACACAAACAATAAAAACAACCGTACGTGACATCATCGGATGTTCGTCTGATGAAGAATTTTGCAAAATTCCATTAAAATAATAATCAATCTGAAGAAGCATTCGATAAAATTATCAATTAAATGATAAATGCACTGAAATTTAAATTTCAATCATATTTGTTAATAAATATTATAAATCAGAAAATGCAGTATATATAAAAAATTTAAATAACTTTTTTTTTTATAAATTTTTTTTTTCTGTTTTTTACTAGCTTTTTTACTACAGTTAGTATTACAATTTTCTATTACAGTTAGTTGAATAATTATAATTTTTCAAATATTAATTAATTACTTATTTTTAAAAAAAAATCTCATCCAATGAAAGTAGCTGCAATTTAAAATGTGAATTTTAAATAGTAATAATAAGTACCCTATTAATCAATATTTCCAATAGTTTGAGATAACGTTTAATGCATATAACGACAAAATTAGCATTGATTGATAAAATTAAAACTTCAACTTTCACTTTAATAGGCATTTTTTTCGTGTGATCATGTCATATGGAAAGAATTAGAATGACACTTGCATTTACACTCATTAGATACTGCAACATTTTTCTTATCATTACCAAATGTAGCTCAGATGTAATAGAACCGTTTGTTTAAGAATGTTGAGACAATGGCGACAGTAACGCTTCAATGTTGACAATGGTGACAGTAACGCTTCAATGTTGACAATGGCGACAGTAACGCTTCAATGATGCACCAACAAACTTTGGAAATATCATTTCAGGAAGGATTATTCCACTATAATCTACCAAATTAATACTGTTTTTCTAATTTTGTGAAATATATTCATCATTCCATTCGTAAAACTAAGCTGTTTTTTTTTTTTTTTTTCTTCTGACTTAACAAAGACTTAACAAAGCAGTTTGAAGAAATTTTTATTCGAGTTCAGATGGAAAGCAATAGCAGCAAGCAAAAGCACATGAAGATCAGTTCCTGTGATATCGTCGTGCTATCATCAGAATCTTGTTATCAGTTTATAAATACTAACTTATCACAGTTGTCAAAAACTATTATTCGGTTTAAATTCATTATATCTAAAAAATAGTTCCATCCATAATCCATAATAAAGAGTTACAAATAAAAAACAAATAATTTGTTCAATACTCGTAATTTAGTCTAAATTGTTTGACATTAAAAAATTAAAACAAAAAAAAGGTAAAATTGAATTTTGGAGAACAAATTTTCTCCTCAAAAATTAACAGTTTTAAAAAAAAAAAAAAAAAAAAAATGAAATGAATCAGAGCTGATCATGTGATGATGGCATACGCAAATGTCATATTCATGTCTATCATCACGTCATCACGTCATTTATCAGTAAGTTGTTGTTGTAAAGCGAAAATTTTCAGAGATTATGTTGCTCATAATTATATTATTATCAACGAAATGTCAAATTGCTAAAAGAAAGAAAGCGCAAATGTTACAAAGTATTAACTACCTCATTGTCATACTTCTTAGCAGTTTTATGACACGGTCAAATGGAGAAAGTGAAGCATTTATCATCAAAATTAAAATTCTCGTAAAAGTGAAAGAATGCCTAGATTTTAGTTTATATGTATACTTAAGCCTAATCTTACACTTAGCTCCTTTAAGTTCTTTAAGCTATTTTGAATATTTTCATGAGATTTTCCAATTTAATTCTTTATAAAATGAAACTTCAACAATTTGTTTAATTTACTTAATTAAATGCAGTATCATTGTCAATCAACGGAAGCAATAAAAAACGAAATAAGTTGTATTATTTGATTAGCACTTCTGAATTTATCAGATAATTTTATCATACCTATGAAATAATCCTTTTATATCTTTTTAATAAATAAATTACTGAAATTCATAGTTTCAATTTTTTGATACTACAAAGTATTATTTTTTGTGTATGCATTGCAAAATTTTAATTTTCCTTTTTCCAAGTAAACTATTCAAAAGTTTAAATATTCAAAGATTTATTCATAATCACATTTGCATGAAATAAGTATGAAAAGTAATTAATGCAATTAATACTATATGAGTGCCGGAAAAGTTATTTTGAAGCAGTGAACAATTTCAAACATAAAATAATTCATAAATTTTCATCATTTCCGTATTCCATATCCAAACACAATTACAAATTCATTTCTCACATTCGCTCTTACATTTCTTGATCAGTTAACTAAAAAATTCTCTTATTTTTCAATTCATTTAAAAAACGAAGACATAAGGAAATTTTTCCTGAAATTTACAACTTTTCCGACATTTGTTTATTTCATGTAAATAGAATGAAATGGTTCAAGTTAATCGCTCAAATGGATGAAATTTAAAATTTGAAAATATTTTTCAATTTCATTATGAATTGAAAAAAAAAAAAATTTAACTCGTTTTTCTCTTGAAGCGTTCTTTGAGTCCGGTAAGTCCTTTTTTATCTATTTTTCCTGTCTCTTCTACAAGTTTAATAGCTTCCGCTTTTCGGTTATGAAACATTGCACTGTCACTTCGCACATCTTCCAAATTACCTTTAATCTAAACATTTATGCAATATTATAATTTATAATTTTAAAATTAATTTCAATTTCTTAAGCTTATTTTGTTTCTTTATAAAAATATATATATTTTCACCAAGTAATCGCATTGCATAAATAATAAAAATAATTTAATAATTTGCTTTGATACAGTTTTTTAAATTTTAACTATTTGTAATTGTGATTCATTAATATTTCAACTTGCAAAAAAAAAAGATTAATGAATACTTTTCTTCGTGGTAAAGGTAAATTATCGCTCTGACGCTGTTGTTGATTACCTGTATTAGTAACAAAATACAATTATACAAATAAAGTGATATGATTTGTTATCAGAAATTATGCTTGTTCCTATAGAAATCCACGCTTAGCATAAAAATATATAAGCATAGATTTCAAAAGAACAAACAAATAGTGAAACGACCACTTTAATAATACAAATGAATACTAACTCGGTGCGCAATACGTCGAGATAAGTGCAGTCGCGAGACAAACGATAAAAACAACCGTACGTGACATCATCGGATGTTCGTCTGATGAAGAATTTTGCAAAATTCCATTAAAATAATAATCAGTCTGAAGAAGCAGTCGATACTACTTCAAAATTATTTCAAAAAATGATAATGATGTATGTTCTTAATAAATTCTATTTTTGAAATTCTGCGCTATTTTCAACTGCTTAAAAAAAGAGAAATACACGTTTATTAAATGCTAACCATAAAAATAACTTTATTGAATTGATAAAAAGTAGTTTAATTGTTTTTTTTAGCTTTTATAGTGTTTTTATATAATATAAAATTATCACCTTAATGTATTACATTTCTTATCATTTTTTTAAGATCTTTTTTTTTTTTTTTACATTTTGCACAGTTTGTCATTCAATTATTAAATTATTTTCATATCTTGAAGTGATTAATGGCTGCAAAGATAATTACAAAAAATTAACGAAAAATTATAAATACTAAACTAGCAGAGAATTCAAGCAAAAGAACTTAGTAGCATGTAAATCATTTTCGTAAAATAATCAGAATTTGCTATCAAAACCTTATCAATATCCTATTTCAAATTTTTATCAGCAATACTGCTTCTATTTCTCAATATGTCGCCGAAATCATATAATTCTAATTCGAATAATTTCAGTTTAATTTTTAACACAAATATTTTAGCATAAATGTATGGAAATAATATAACTGATCAGTATGAATAGTGTGCCGTTATCAGCATTATCAGTAATTAATTGATATAAGATTAGAAGTAAGCAGAAATAGATGCTAATAAGAAACTGCTTAATTATGTTGACAGTATTTTTCACAGGTAAAAATAACAGGATAATAATAGATGATAAAATTTTAAAATTTATAGCTGAGATTCACACTATTTTCTTTTTCGTCTTCAACTGTTCTTACTGATTTTATTATCAAATCTGTTGCATCTGATAAATTAAATGTCTTCATTGCTTTTTATCATCGCTTATCACTGATATCATCTTACGTTCATACATTTTTTCGCACCTTTCCTGGGCGTTTATCATTTGCCCTGAATGATTGTATAAATCATTGTGTTATATAATTATACTATGAATAATTTCAATTTCCAGAAACCAAAAGGACTTAAGAAATTGATAAGAAGACCAATAATTCACTTAAAAAGGCATAATAATTCTTCAAGGAAAAAAATTGTTGTCTATAAACAATATAAGCATTTTGTGATTTAAAAATACTACAAATTGTTTCAAACATAGTAAATATTATGAGCAACAACTGAAACTGTTAAAATCATTGAAAAAAAAGCAAATAAAGAAAGCAATGAATTGTCAATTAAAACAGTCTTTAGTACGAACATATTTACCGACTTTTATGACAAGTTGTGATGTTTTTCAATCATGAAGATAGTTTGTAGCAAGATTGGTGATAAGCGCTAAGGAAAACTTCGATTATCATCAAAAAAAAAATCTATTAAAACTACAGTTTAATTTAAAATTAAAAATAATCTATGAATGAAGAATGGGATCCTTTGTTATGAAAAGACAAAAAGTAAAGTAAATAATTATGATATCCTTTAGCTAACTTCTTTATATAATAGCTTATAAAAATGATAATGATTAGATCACTTATAAATGATTAGAAAGGAATGAAATAAATTAATAAACCAAAAACTTTTTTTTTTTTCGCATTTCTTGAACTATTTTACAATAAAAGTTTCATTAAGTTGCATCTAATTTATTGAACATGAAAATTACTTTTTTTTAATTCCATCCTTTTAATTAAATCTTGAAAAATAATTTAAGAAAAGTGATAAAGGAATAGGAATAAATCAAACTAAAATCATTTTTATTTAGCAAATAAATCACTGACAAATTTTGATTGGTAGAAGTTTGAGTATTTATTATCATTAATTAAAAATCACATTTCAAATTGAAATTACTTTAATTGGATGAGATTTAAAACAAAAAAGTGATTACTTATCATTGAAAAAATTATAATCATTCAAATAATTAACTATAATAGAAAATCTAATAAAAAACGAAAAAAAAAGAAAAGAGAAAATCGTTTAAATTTTTTATATATATTGCATTTTCTGATTTATAATATTTATTAATATCGCTTCTTCAGATTAATTATTATTTTAATGGAATTTTGCAAAATTCTTCATCAGACGAACATCCGATGATGTCACGTACGGTTGTTTTTATCGTTTGTCTCGCGACTGCACTTATCTCGACGTATTGCGCACCGAGTTAGTATTCATTTGTATTATTAAAGTGGTCGTTTCACTATTTGTTTGTTTTGAAGTCTATGTTAACACGTAGTGTGTGGATTTCCGTGAAAACAAGCATAATTTCTGATAACAAATCATATCATTTCATTGGCAGCATATACTAAATTTAGCTGCTATTTCAAACAATCATTAATTTTAACATTTTTCTCATTTAAGATAAATTGTAAGGTTTTTTGAAAAGTTTTTATGCTAATAATTTTAAAAGCTTTTTTCAATTTATAAATGATAAAATTCTTGTAAGCATGTAAGCTTGTGCCTTTTTTAATAAATTAATTTGGTTTTAAAATAAATAAATATAGCAGTAACAATAGTGTTTAAGATGGATAATTAAAAATCAAGAATTTTAAATTTCTAACTTCAGTAGTATGTTCTGATGATTTTGAAATGAAACGAATTGGCTTGGATGTTTATTGTTTTAAAGTGTTTTCATTCAATAGACATGTTAGTTCCTCAAGGATTTCAATTCTTCAAATTCACTTCATGAATAATTAATGATAATAATTATTTGTATTAAGCTTAAATAAATTTTAGTTCCCTTAATTTGTTAATATTTTTGGTTCGCCTAAACTGAAAAGTCTATAGCTATAAAATATTTCAAAAACTAACGAAAAATTTGACAAATTTTGACAAAATATTTTATAGGATAAACAATACATTGATGAATTCTTTGAAAAACCAGATGGCGAAGGTGACAATCGCTTGTGTCGAGATTATACAATGCATGCTTCACCAAATGGAACCAGTGTTAGCATTCGTAATAAAAAAGAATATGAATATGTTAAAGTATTATATCGAAGTATGCATTTCATTTCAGTTATTTCTTTTTAATTTTTTTTTTTTTTTTTTCAAGTAAACTAAATTAAATATTTTTGTTTTTTTGCTTCTACAATTTTCTTCTTCAATTCTCTAAGACATAAATGCTAAAGAAATAATTCTTTTTAATTTCTTAGTTAAATTTTGAAAAAAAAAAAATTATTCATATTTACAATATTAGTTTTCAACTATCACATAATTGATTTGCCACCAATTTTAGTAGTTGTTTGATTTGTTTAGCAGCCGATTACTCACTGACTTCAATGCCATTACTGATTGGTTTAAAATATTATGATGAACGTCTTGAATGGTCTGATAAATCAGCATTTAATTATAGTGATTTCATGGAAGCTGATTTCAAATCACGTTTTACATACATGAAAAAAGGCCAATGTCGACGTTTTTTCATGTACAGTCCACCAACACGTAAATTTTGTTAATTTTGAAAATGTAAAACTAATTTCATTTAAATTATAATATATTTCTCATTAGATAAAATGTATAATCGTTCAATTGATAATTATTTGAAAAGTGTTCATCCTAAATAATATTTTTTACCTTTTTAATTTAATTTTGATTAATTGTAATCTTCATATTAGATAATCGCATTTGCAACTTAGCAAATGATTGAATTTATTTTTAATAGAAATTCAAAACTGTAAGATTATTGCATATCGTAAATGAATTTTGAAATAAGCTAGTGCAATTGTATACTATTGCAATTTCACATTGCTATTTTAATATATAAAATTATCTTTCTTTTCAGTTGGCCCCAGAAAATATCTCGTCTTTGATATCGATTGTAAATTACGATTTTTCGAATTTCGCGCTGTATGTCGATATAAAGTACCACGTTCTGAGGTTAATTTTGTTTTCAAAAATTCTGATAATAGATAAGTATCAGTTAAACTATCTCGAATACTACGTATTCATAAGATATAATAACAGTTTTATAATACACAAATGTATATCATATTTATACATTATTAATAATTTAAGTGATTAAAAAACTGAAATTTATTTTAATTTTTAAAGTAATGTTTAAAATTCCGTAACACTTTTGCATCGAAAAAAAAAAGAGAAATAAATTATGAATGAAATATATTTACTTTGTGCTATGTGTGATTACTGCCATTGAATTGACGTTTAACAATAGAAATTATCAAATTATATCGTTTCAACCAATTTCATTTAAACTTTATTGATTTAATTTTTAAGTATGAAGAAATGTTTTGAAATAGAAAGAAATTTTAACTCCAATAATTGAAATATTTATACTTTATTACTTACTAATGAGTAGTGGGAATACGAACGTAGAAAATATGTGATTGAGATTACAGGGAAAACATTCCCGGATGACATTTAATTAAAATCAATTTCAGCTTGATGTCCAACCGGTCCCTCAACCTGATGACTACTCTAAGTCGAAAGAGGTATCATTTTTGATTGAAATTTAATATAGGAATAGTAGAGGAATGCAACCTTAGTAAAATTACACTTTTCACTATTATTGAAAATTAAAAGTAAACTTTTCAAAATGAAATTTCGAAAAAAAAATAAACAAACTGATTTCATTCAATATTATTTCGATAGTATATGAATTATTCCTAGTTTAAAGTTCTAATTCGACTTTTTAAGTTATTTAGAATGTACGGAAATTATAAAAAAGTTAATGATAAAGTATATTTGCAATGATACTGCAAAATAAGTTCGTAGAAAAAAGTCAAAAACTGTTTCATTCGATTCGTTTATTTAAAATGTTTGTTTAGAAAAGAAAAACAAAGCAAATGAAATATTTTTTCGATCTTAACTTTCCTGAAAAATTTTCGCTTTGTTTTCTATAAATTTAAATTTTAAAATGTTTAATGTTTTAGATTAATGAAAATTTGGACTACCACGATTATTGGCATGAAAGTAATTTTTTTTCCTAAGCAACATTGATTATTTTAATTTTATTTTTTTGGCTATGAACATACAAAACTCTTTCGTTTAAAATAAATATATATTTAAATTAAAAACACCTGACAAAATGGGAAATTTTTATTACTATTTCTTTGCTTAATATAGTTTGAGTAAAGTAATTATTCAGGAATATTACTTCATACATTCTGTTTATTTTTGTTCATATTTAAAGATATAAATATCGTTTTTTTTCGATTTTTTTTTTTTTTTTGATATCGTTAGCTGAAATTTCAGTTGTATAGAAGAAATGATTGCAGCAAAAGCAATGACAAGCAATTATTCCGTAAGACATATATATATATATTTTTTTTTTATTAACACGAAATTCTTTTCAATGAATCCAAAAAATTTCATAATAATTTCATTAATATTGAAATCTTCACAGATTAGAGCTCTTGCAGCTTTCAACAATAATGGAATTAATTAAAGGGGACTAACAATATTTGAATTAAGGACAATATTTTTTCTATTAGTTAGCCAAGGAAATAGTTAGATTTCTGGGTAATATGAGTAAAGTATATATTGGATAGAATAACTAAAATAATAAAATAGAATTAAAATTGTGTCTTATTGATAAAATATCTAAGAAAAGAAATCAACAAATGATATTTCAGAAGATTGTGCTGTCTGGCAGATAGTTGTAATTCTTCCGCTCGCAATATTTTTGCTTCGTTTTTATAAATACATATTTTAAATTATATAAATATTATTTGTAAATAATTTCAAATAAAAAAAAAAAATTCTTCGAACTGAATAATACAACTGAGAATAAATGAAAACGAATATTGTCCAATTATCCAATCAATGAAAGTTATTACTTATAAAGTTACAAGTAAAGTTATCTACAAGTAAACTTCAATTATGTTTTTTGCCCTACCAAAGCAATCAATTAATTAATTATCTGTCAACATTCATGTCACATACATGACTTATGCTAATGGATAAGTTACTGCATAACATTCACTTACTCATGCAACAATAGTAAGATGATTTTATTGTTGACAAGATGTGACAATAATGCACATCCAGTGCATGGTCACCTGAAACTTTTTCCAATGATTCATTTGGCGACAACTGACTTCATAGTATCTAATGGATCATTCTGTTCACAATTAAAATCAGCACTACTTCAAATTATTTTCTATTCAGTAATGCGTAAAAGTATGGTTTGATGATTTTAAAATGGTTTGCGCGACATTCATTTTACCCCTTAATGACCTCTGACCTTTACGAATTTTGTTCTTGAATTAATTATTAGTTAAGATGCTACAATTTATAACATTTTTCTGAGTCGAATTTTCACTTTTATAAATAATATATATTTTGCTGCACAAATCATAACATAGATTTTGAGATATTGGAATAATTCATTCCAGGGAAGTGCTTCCGAAATGAATTATTCGCATTATATTCTCCCATTTTTTCTTTCAGCACGATGATTCGCTTCCTTTTTCTTTTGCAAAATTTTTTATATTTGATATTATCTTGATATTATGTATGATATCTTTTATCATTTTAAGTAAAATAAAACTTTTTTCTTCTTGGCAAATTTAAAACTACATTTTTTGATAAATTTACGCTGCATTTTTAGTATTATGTTCACATTATATTTTAGCAAAAAATTATGCTCAATTTTTGATCAATTTACGCGGAATTTTTAATAAATTTATCCTATATTTTTTGCAAAAAACTATGCTTTATTTTCGATCAATTAACATAGAATTTTTATCAAAGCTATGCTACATTTTTCATAAAAACATATAATAGAAATGCGCTAATGTCACAGCTCTATGATCTTTCCATTTAACACAAATATATGATGAAAAATGGCAGATTGTATGGATGAAATTACTCTAAGAATTGCATCAAATCAATTCATTGCTGGAAAATGGTCAAATATTTGATTTCCTTTGGTCACATTGTCACAAGAGGAGGACATTGTATAGGAAAGAAGTATCAACCCGCCAATAATAATTTCACTAGCTTTAGTCTAAGGGTGTATGTATGTGTGCATGTGTGTGTGTATGTATGCCATTGTTACTGGTCACTGGTCATTATGTTGGTCACTTGAGTATATCTAATATTAGATATGTGAGCAAGAAGAGATCACACATTGCTTCCTATATAAAATATCTGATTTCTTTAAATCTCTCACACAAACTACTATCTCTCATTTCCTTTGCTCTTAAATTTCTTCATTTCTCTTACTGTATGATTCATCAAATCTCTGCCTAAACCATAATATTTTCATCGTTATCACTTTGCATTTTGCACATAGTTCACAATTTCTTTCACTTTCTGTTCTATCAAATTATTCTATTTTCTTCTTCTCTAATTGGGCGGTTTTTGTTTTTGTTTTTTGTTCTCCTTCCTTCGGCGGCTTTTCTCTCTTTTTTTTCTGCTCCCTTTTTAGGCGGGTGTTAAATGTTGGTACCATTAGCTGGGTATATAAATTCGAGAATACTTTTGCTACATTTCATTTCATCTTCCGTTCATCATCATCATCATCATCAAATTCTTAGATGGTCACTCTCTTCTTATTAGTTGGTTACGATTGGTCAGAAAGAGGGGTCATTCAATTTAGCTCAGATTTATAGGGTTTAGTTTTAGTTTTGGGCAATTTAATATTGAAACATTTCCATTCTTAAGCAGTCTGTAAACTCATCGTAACATTTTACTGCTTATAGTTAGTCATCGCTGTTAGTAAGAGAGAGTGGGAAAAGGAGAAAGAGAGAGCGGTCATTCAAATCTTTTAGCAGCACCTCAAATTCATCTTTCTTTTTCTGTCTTATTTTGTTCCTACGATTATGTTGGGATTAACCAATTTGACCTAATACATTGTAATTTTTAATTGATATCTGCTGTACGGTAGTAATCTCTAAAAGATATGATCTTCTTGCAGTGTTTCTCTCATAGAAGTTTCACAGAAAAATTCATAAAAATTCATTTTCTGTGGGCGGAGAATTTTCAGGTTTTTCAAGTTTACATCTTACTACTTACCATACACTAACATTCACCATCATGGCTAAGACAGGGCCAAAGGGATCAAAAAAGTCAAGTAAAAGGTCAAGCGGAGCATCAACATCAAAGCAAAAGAAGACGAAGAAGGTCAAAGTAAGTTAGCTTTTTTTTTATTTCCATAAAAAAAGCAAAACAATTAGTGTGGATGAGTACTTTAAGTACTATAAGCACATAAGTACTATAATTATTACAGCATAAGTACTAACATATCAGTCATTAATAGACTAAACCATGGGTGATATGATATGTTGTATTTTCAGACTATCCCCTATTGTATTTTCTGAGATCTTTTTGCAGGATCCGAATGCACCGAAGCGAGCCAAGTCAGCTTACATGTTCTGGTTGCTGGAAAATAGATCTCGTATAGCGAAACCTGGCATGTCTGTCATTGATGTGAGCAAAGCAGCAGGTGTTGAATGGGGCAAGGTAAAAGATAAGAGCAAGTACGAGAAAATGGCCAGCCAGGATAAGCAGCGATATGAGGCAGTATGTATTTTCTTTTTCAGATATACATTTGATTACTAATATTTTGTTTATGTTTGAAATTTGGTCTGTAAAAAATGAAACATTCTAGTTCTAGCTACACAATTCATAATAATGATTACATCATTTTAATTACATTATTCTAGGGAAATAACTGATCTTCGTGAATAAATATATCATGTTGATCAGTTTGACATATCATTATCATATCATATTCGCTGTAATACAGTTTTTCCAGGCTATAGTCATGGATTATTTGTAGTATCATTAGTTCTCAATAGCTTTTTTATAATTCCAATTAATTAGTTAATTCATTTAATTCATATTGCATCTAAACAATACACTTATCATCTAACAAAACGAGAAAGAAATTAGGTCGAATTAGGCGGACTAATAGAATATTCGAATAGTTTTTTTTTTTTTTTTTTCGGAATCAAATTGAAAGCTGATTTCAGGAAAAGAAAAAATACAAGAAGTAACAGTGAAGAAGATTAAAGGCAACGGTTTTTTTTTCTTTTTTTCATGCATTTTTTTAAGCTGTTAATTTTAATCTCGCTTTTTTTTTTGTCGTGGAATTTTTTTATATGTGTGTGTGTCTTTTTTTTTTTTTTTTGACTTTTTTCGGATATTCTATTCTTTTCTTTTGCGCATTCCAAAATTTTATTGTCGTCGAAATTCATGTCGGATATTTTATCCTTTTATATGATTTTTTCTTTATAAAGTTTCAACAGAAACAGAATCTGAGGTTTGTTTAAAATAGGAAAGGAATTTTAAAGGGCTGCAAAATTATTGTCAGGGATTTATCATCAACTTCTATCGGCATTTAACCGTGCTAGTTGCCTGACCTTTATATTACCGTATTCCTTCCAAATGTTTGATTTTTCTTTCTAATGATCTTGCTTTGTATTGGTTGCTAATTAATGGAAATACCTCAGTGTTTTTGGGTGCGCTTCATTAAATGTTGAAGTAAAAATAAGTTGGTTTGAGATGTGTCGAACATTGGTAAAATTCCAATTGTGTTTCCAATCATATTCGGGTTGTAATATCGATCAGGCTACCACCAAATAGGCTTGGTACGGAAGAAAAAGAATGTAAGACCAGTTAAGAAATTAAAAATGTGAGGTAAAACAGCGTAGTGATAGCGCTCTGTACTGCAAAATTCAAGCAATTTTACGGAATAAGACTGTTACTGTTTTCTAGTAATTTGAAGTAACTTGTTGAATAGATTTGATTATTTAATTAGCTGATTTGGATACTTTTGGAAATACAATAATTATGGCGCATTTACTAATTTCGAGATGTGAGGAAGTAAAGAATTTGAAGCTAATATGTTACTAGTTTTACATACTTATGCATTGATAAGATCGTCCAAAGAGTATCAAGATTATGAGGTAAAAGCTGATAATTTACTAACTGTTTGATTTGAATTTTTCATCTTTGAAGCTTCCTTGCATTATCAAGTTCTCAAAGGAGAGGCCAGTAAGGGAGTAATTTTTTTTCGAAACATATTATGGAATATGCTAGGAGTGATTAATTAATTAGTTGCGTTGGACTGAAGTTTTTAATAATGGATTCGAGTTTGCGGTTGTTATTGCAATTAAATCGACGAGTTAAAAAAATAGAAGAATTAAGTTTGGACTGAGAGATTAAATTTATTTATTTTGCAGGAGATATGATGGTGAAGGTGTTTGTGAAATAATTTTAAGCTATGCTTCGTATTATTGCTTGTCCTTTGACGAATGTAAGATGTCAAACCGTTTTCCAGAAATTTTCAAGCTTTGCTCAACCTTCAGTTTCTGATCATCAGGTGTGATTGTTTAATTTTTTTACACTTTATATACTGTCATTAATTTCGTTTTACCTGTAAAAGCAATCGATATGATGGATTAGTGTTGTAAGGATAAGGTTAAAAACTGCGTGAGATTAAATGGAAAGTGACACCTTGACCGTATTAAAAGGATAGATCAATAATTAAAACGATTTAATTAACTTAAAACAGTTGTTTTTATTTATTTTGATTCAAAGTACTTTACAAACATCGTCGATAAAAATGGAACTGTCTTTCTTTCGTAGGGTTATCAGTCCATTGTAATGGAGGATGTTTTATGTTTACCTGATTTTATTTAGTTTCCTCGTGTGATTAATTGTTTCCTTCATTTATGCAAAAATTTTGTTTCCTTTCTTATCCAAAGATTTCTTTTTTTCATTAATTGGAATTTAAATCGTATCTTATGCAGCAGGTGAGTAAGAAATATGTAATCTATGACAGCTTTAGCTGATTTAGATGGTGACCATATTAAAAAAAAAGTAACTGCATTTCAATTAGCATATTCGAAATCATTAATTGGTTAGTATGAAGTGATGAGTCAATTCATTATGTATATGATTTGGTTGTTTTAATTTAATGAAAAATATACTTTCCAGATATCAGAGATAAGCATATCAAAAAATGCTAATAAACCATTTATTTTGCTGGAGGATGACAAATCTATAGTACCGGTTTTTGATTTAAATCGAAGGTTGGGAAATGTTTTTGCTCAGTTTCGTTATCGACATTTTTTCGAAAAAGAATTCACTGTTAAAGGTTTTCTTAATGGAGCAATACAGGTAATATCAGTTGATAATATAATAAAGTAAAACATAAAAATTGATTTGAGCAAAAAATTTTTTTCTCAAACTTTTATGAATTCATTTTAATTATAGATTATATTTTCAATTAAAAAGGAAGCTTTAGCTGGAAAAAGTTGAATACAACATGAGAGTTTCATAATTATTTTTAGAAACAGGTCTATCTTATACCAGTTAATTTTAGTAAGGAGAGATATGAAACTATAAGTGGAGATACGAATAGATTTCTCAGCAAATATATTATTTTCAAAGTTTTAGCACTTTATAAAATTCCTATCTATCTAAGTTGATTTAAATTTTTCGAGTCCCATTTTCTCATAGCTGTAATTTATAACTTTAATTTTATCTTTTCAGGCTTTCCTTTTTAAAATCTTCACTTTTTATTCCTATTAGAATTTTATTAAAACTAGTTTCTAATTAAAAGTGAGGAACTTTTAGGTTTTGCAATAGGTTTCTGTTTAGGGCTGTATCGCAATTAATGTTATTAAAAATTCATAACATTAGTTTTCGATGATGCATAATTGATAGTTGTAGTTGCGAAACACCTTCCTTGTAACAATTAAAAAAAAAAAAAAAAAAAATCCAATGAATAATTCATGATCACCCTAGACTAGAACTACCACTAGAAATGCATCGAGTAAAAAAAAACTAGCACTAAAAACCTTATCTTACAAAACTTGAAATATAGCATTATTATTTTAAATATAACATGTCATTACCTTATCATCATATCAATCAGTCAATAGGATTGTTTTCTAGGCTGCTGTTTTATGTGCGGGTTATATTCGTTATGGAGATTGGGGTAATTTAAGAAGGATAATGATTGATGAAACTGTTTCTGAATTGCAAACGCGATTCGATCCATTTAATATGGAAGATTTCGAACGATTGCAATTCTCTACTAATGATGTTATTTGTTCCGTCATTGATTCCTCTTACACATGTGGCAAAATACAACCAAAGAGTGCGTAAAATTTATCTTAGCATATTATTAGAACGCAAATATGCATCATCACTTAGTATTTCTGTTTGGATGTCTTTCTTTAATTTTCTAACTTCTCAGGCCAAACTAGTAGAAGAATTAATAGTTTGTTTTTCGCATGCACTCTTCCGTAAAGCTGTTGCAAAATTGAAATCAGATGATAACAAAGTTACGAAAAGTTTCTGGTATTCCAAATAAAAATTTGGAATTCTTTTTGCTATAGATGAAATCTGCAATTTTTGATGAACTTGAATTGTTGTTTCCTGTGGATACTTGAATCGAGCCTGCACCTTAATACTTTTTGATCCTAAACCATTTTCTGAAGTTCTAACATTGCTAATTTCTGAACACAAGTGTAATTAATTGGGAACAGTCAGGTTATTGCAGCTTCTGGATTACGGTCATTTTTTCCATTAAAACATCGAGCTTTTTATTCACAAGCTATCATTTACATCAAGAAGAGCAACATGAATGAAAATGAAAGTATTGAGCGTTTGCTAAGGATATCACCTCCTGGAAGCTTACTCATCTGCAACATCACGTAAGTTTTTTACATGCTATAATGGACAACGGCCGAAGAAATCCTTCAACGACAGCCTGAGGAAAGAGAGGAAGCAGAAATGAAGAAAGCATGAAAAGCGAATCTTGTAATGAAATAAGCGGAAGTTAGAAAAAAACTTGATATCTTACTTAGGATGAAGAAAGAAATATGCAGTGACGAAATAAAAGATTACCAGAAGAATGACCTTTTCATTTTGCTTATACGTTTTATCTGTTTTCCGTCTACTTTTCATTTTTTTTTTAATCTTTCACTATTACTTTTATATATTCCACCGATAATGCGATCTAAAAAAAAATGGAATCAATGGAAAATCTGCATGAAGTACTTCTGAAGGAAACGAAAATTATTTCTAGATTATCGAGAATTCTAAACCCACTTGGAATGTGGAAAGTTACCCGAATCAATTTCTTTGATTACCCGTAAGAAGCAAATGGATTACTGGGAATATTCGATGTTGTCTAAATGGAACTTGCCGATGAGTTTCAGATTACATTATTACACCGACTCAATGTATCAGTGATTCTTCTAGATTTTTCCTTTAATTATTACTAATACTTCCGTTGTCCTTTGATAACTTAACATTAAAATTTTGCACAAATTCATATCATGAATTATTTGTTGCTCAGGATTAACGTAATTAGAAGTGTTTACAAATGAAACAGAATGCATAGTGCATGGGCTAACATGAATATCATTAATATAGACCAGAATGACAGAAAATTTCACTTAGAGGAACTGTATAAAATTAACATTGAAGAATTGGAAATCATATAAAAAATTGCATAACAATTGATCTAACATTATTAGTGATTTTATATTTCTAGAAAATAAAGTTTCTTAGTCTTAAACAAGCAGCTTAAACATTTGCTACAGCTCGCATTTAGGGATTAACAAAATTTTAGAACTTAACAAAAACACTTCTATACCATCCTGCAAAATCTATATCCTTTACTTCTTCTTGTAAATACAACAGTAATTACTTATTCAGTATGAACTGATGTGTTGTCATCTGAAGGGCTTCCCATTCTGCTTTGAAGGCTTGCTTTGGATCTTGTGGCATTGCCATTGCTGCACCGCTCATCTGTTCTTCCATCATTCGGGACTGATCGGCCGCATTATTTTCACCCAGTACCAAAGTATAGATTGCTCGTAGACCAAAAACATTTAAGAAGTACCACGAGGCAGATGACACCCATGCAGCGTCCAATGATGCTAGTTCTATTCCTGAGAAATTTGTATGGATGATATCGATGAATTTAATTCAAAAACATTTCGTGAAGAATTTTCCTTAGCAACTTGAAGTTTTAATTCCACTCCTGAATTTCATACTTTCGAGAACCAAAACAAGCATATAGGTTTTTTTTTTTTGGATTTTGTTTGAAGTTGGATTAAAAAAGCCATACGATTTTTTAGGGTAAATTCTGAAAATGAAGAACCTCTTTGAAGCATTGGCTTAAACCTTAAAGTAAGTGGAAATGGAACTCGAGTCGTCACGAAACCACTGAATGTCCAGTTTATCCAACCACCAATAACGATCATCGGCAGAACGTTGAGTAAATTACCCTTTAGGAAAGAAAGGAAGTTAGGCTTTCCGTAAAATTTATATTTTGTAAAATGGTAAATCATTACATTACGACACTGATTTTATGAAAGTTTAACGACTTTGCACATTAACAATTAAATCTTAAATTTCATTATTTCCACTGGTGATTTGACTAATATAAATCTCTTTTTAAATTGCTAATCAGAAATAAAAAGCATTTTTGCGAATGAGGTGATGTAGTTGCGACAAAGTCGAAAGTTATTTCACTAGTCTCAAGGAGACATTTGAGGAATTAAAAAAGTCAGATTTGAAGCTAAATCTTGACGTCCAGAAGGTTGTTCAAAATTTTCAGCTTTAAGCAAAAGGCAATATTAACAATTGGATGATGGTATAAAGTAAAAAATAAATATAAAAAAAAACCTTCAACATATCTGTCATCATTGTTGGGTCAGCCATGGGGTTTTGCATTTGTGATGGTCGTCGCATGCCCTAAAAAATCAAAGTGAATTTCTACTGACAGCATTAATGTCAATACAAATTGATTTGAAATGTATCGCAAATTAAAACTTAACCAATAGTTTACATTCTAAGTCTTCACAAATTTTATTTTTCGACTTTATTTTGCTTAATGCATTTCCTAATAATTGGTTCCAGTACAACTTTTATTTTCAACCAAATCTTTATTAATACTTTTTATTAATGTCGACGTTCTTTGCTATGTTCCTACACTTTTTTACAACATAATGTAATAACTATCATGAATCTTAATTGCATTTCCAATAATACCAAATAGTAATCTGAGTATCACATATTAACATTAAAAAGTAGTAATATTATAAACGAATTCAAAGAAAAAAGAAAAAAACCTAACCTTTGTTATGTAACCATTTTCTTCATTTAGCAAAAAATTCTTTCGCATATTAAACGATGCTTTTGGCAAGAACCGCCCATTTTCTCGCAATAATCGGGAACGTATCAAATACTGGCTAAAAATTGTGGATGAGAAGTAAGGAAGTACTAAATGAGAAAGATTTAATAAACAGAAGTGATGACCAATAAATCTGGAACTGATAAATATAGCATGTAAATACATAACAGTAGTGCTGTAGAATTATACCATAAATTTCATTTCACAAAAATTTCATTCATTTCACGCTATTTGATTTAAAAAAGGAAAGAATTCGGAACTAACAAAATGCTACCCACTTGCTATTTACTTAAATACTCGAAAAGTTACCTATCTCGCACTTGCTGCAACTCCAACTTCTTCCTGTTCGTGAATATCAAAGCTACATAATGCCGTAATACTCCGACCAGAAATGTAATCAGAATAACCGGCAAAAAAACCCATGTCCGGATGGCCGGATCGAGGAGCAATTCCGTCATACCGTCAAAGATAATTCACAATTAACTGCACATCAACTATAACAACTGCCAATCTAAATATTAAAAAAGGAAAAAAGACGAAAGCAATTCAACAACCATTTGCGAAATTTGGTAATACTACTGAAATATAAAATTCAAACAATCTACAATATCATACCTTTCACGTAAGCCTTAAAAAATATATATATATATATATATATAATTCCACATATAAGTTTTACATACATATAATATTATGTGGCTTAATTCTTTGGTCACTAACATTACCTCAGTTACTCCTGGCGCTTAGTAGTAGACTTTTAATAAGTATTAGTGAATGTTTTTAAATACTGAGCTGTAACAAATCATATCTTTTTTAGCACTTAAATGAAGTGACAAATAGCTCCAAATAATTAGGCGGAAACCATTCGTTAAAAAAAGAAAAGCAAAAGCAAACAGAAACTTTTTATAAAAATTTCATTCAGCGAAACAGAAAAATGACAATTATTCACAAATTAAAATCAAAAAAAGATTGCGGAAGAATCCTATGCAAATTTTCTAGCATTACGCGCTCCGAACAATTTTCCTCAGCATTAGTAGCACTTCTGAAAATTAAAAATTAATAATTTCAAAATTAGACAAAATTTACATCCAATCCTTTAACATTTAAACAATATGAAATATATTGAGACGCTAAAATCAGCGATTTTTTTATAATGAAACAGTTGCACTAATCGAAATGAATAAAAATTCTAAACAGGAAGGAAAACACTTTGATTCAATTCATAAATTAAATGAAACCTGACTGAAATTCTACTCATAGGTGCATGAAAAACCATGATGGATCTAGAGAATTATAACCAGTCTATTAAGATATGAGGAAAGGCTTAATAATCTTAACTTGTAGTATTTTTTGAATAAATTCCGACTACTCATACCATGACACGATTATGCCAATATTAAAAAGATTATTACGAGGATCGGAAAAGCGCACCTGTATAATATTTCTTTTACAATTTCTGTCGCAATTCTTGACAAAATGTACACGGTGTCGTTAGGAAATGAATTGGTTGCATTTCGATGTCGTAAAAGAAGACAACGTCGAACTACTGATTCAGAGATTATCCTAGTCTTCATTATATAAGCACTACAAAGAAAAAAAAATTTTTAATTCAAGAATTTTTTGTTTTCAAATTCAAAATTAAGAGAAAAAATCCTCCTAAAACATTTTCATTATGTCTATAGATATTTCACAATCCAAAAATTTTGGATTTTTGCAGACATTTCAAAATCCAAAATAATAAGTTGATTTTTTGAAAACAACAAAAGTTACACTGCTAAAACAAACACTGAACATGCAATCATATTTATTTGAATTGTGAACTACGCAACAGAAAAAACGACATCAATTAGAATGACAAAGTAGTACAGAACTGCCTCAATCCAGCCTTATTTAGTGCAAAAAATTCTACATAATTTACTCGTTTGATGTGATATCAGTGAATCGGATCAAACTAATGTTCGGCGATCACTTAAAAGTCTTTTAATCTACATTACATTTTGGCTGCGTTAAACAATAACAATAATTATTTCAGATACTCTATATCATCAAATTATGAATTCCTAAAGTGTTAGTATGCACAATCAAATTTGAGATCACCCGTTCTCTAAGAAATAAAAGTTTAAGTGACGACATCGTAAACCACGAACTACATCTTTAAAATAATCACTAATGTTAAGCCTTGTTCTTGTAGCAAATAATATGAGAAGCAAGAGATCACAGTATCAATCTTTAATCCTAAAATTCCTAGGAACATCGCCAGGTAACAGAAATTATTGCACCATGTTTTACCAACACCAATCCAAGACAGACGCTTCGAAGAAGAATTGATTACATTGATTGAGATCTGAGGAATGTATTACAAAGGTTTTCATTCAAAAACAACAATGAAGGATTTGCCTGTTCTAATTAAGTTTTTGGATGGCAATACAAAAGGCACAACAATAACAAACCACAAATTTAGTGAAAACTTAGTAAGCCGAAAAAGCATACCTTTTTAGAAACTATAAACTTTCAAGCTGCTTTACAGAAGAAAGTATTAGGTGTATTCTAGCACGTACTGCATGCGTTTCTCGTTCGTAGAAAGCAGCACGTTCACTTAATAACTCAATTTTTTTCGTGATAAAAATCTGCAACAAAATAGTTGTGTATTAGTTACTGTATTGATGATTTAAAAAAAGGAAGTGAAATTTAACAGCAAAATTTCATATCCTAATTTGAAGGCTAAAAAGAGAAAACAACAAACGGAAACATAAATGAAATTATACCACAAAATCGTTAACCAGAAATTGTTTAACCAAAATGACTAACTTCTGCTCGTTCCAAAGTTAATTCGGCGTAAATATCATCGAATAGTTTTACAATTACATGATCCCATTTATCACTGCAACAACAAAAAATATTGTAAAGGTAATTAAACTGAACGTTTCAATAAACTGGAAAAAAAGAGAAAAAAAAAAAAACAGCAAGACATTCCTATAATATTTCCCGATATCAACCATTATTCATCAATTTCTAATCATTCAAACTGTTATAAAACTGTGATTTAGAAACAAAAAACATCTTTAATTTGAATGACTGAAAAACAATTCATTAATAATATTATCATTAACAGTATTTTTTTGTATTAAAAAGATAGTAGAATGTCTTTAGAAATGTCAAAAGTCATCATCAGAAACTAACATCACAGCCTCACAAAAGATATCTTTACCAATATTTGTCTGTGTTTTCAATGGTTCTTCAGAATCCAGTACCTAAAAGGTTGTTAAGATGCAGAGGAAAATAATAAAAAGTACACAATAATTTAAAATATGAAATTAAAAATCCTTCAAAGACTTGACTTTTGAAGAAAATCACTGAAAACTTATTCATACCACTGAAATTTAATTGGCAGATAGAAATGGATGTTTTCGAGGACAGTAATAAGGCTCACTCCATGAATGCAACACATCTGTACAAACATTAATTTGGCTACTGGTTAATCCAAATAAAAAGACGAGTCTACTAACTATTGAGAAGAAAAAAAAAATAAAATTATTACAATCTTGAGTAGTTTTAATTTCGTTTTTTCTTTTGAACTTACCTTAATCTTATTAATGAAAAGTAGTAAAGTCTCATACTCCTTCACTTCATCCACAATGCAATTTACGGCTTTGATCATTTCTTCATAATCTGATTGTAACCTTTCCACAGCAAATTTACGGTACTTTTCACATAATTCATTTTTTTCACTCATTTCAATCCTGTAATAGCACTCATTAATGATGGTTTTATATTTTTACGGTTTACTCGAAGAATCTACAACATATGTATGATTAATAGAAAAACACTTACGTTAATTCACGTACTCTTGTTTTTATAACTGATTCATTATACTAGTATATAAGATTTCTCCTAGTAAAGAATTCGTAAAACCTTCGAATAAGTTAGTTTGCTTTGAATATTTTTACGGTTTACTCGAAGAAATTTTTATTTACCTGTTCAAAGTAAACAGGTAAATAAAAATTTAAATACAGGATAGTGACGTCGCACAACCCACCATCACAAAGTCACCGTCAAACCACGTTTAAGCTGACGGTCCTTCTAGGTTTATATTCGAGTTGCCGCCGTGTTCTTATGTAAGAAGCATGGCTTATTTTTTGATTTCTTTTTTACTCTGTGAAGTATTCTTTAGTTTTTCCATGAAAATAACGGTATTTATCATAGCAGAATCTTGCCTCATCCTACACATATTCAACACGCAAATAACTTATGATTTATTTATCCATATATTTTTTTCTTTAAGGTAGACGATTAATAATAATTGTAATTATTCTCATTTCTTTTCGTTTCATTCTTTCAGGTATGGCAGATTTAGAAGCAAAATTATTGGATTGTGATACAGCTGGTTACTGTAGTAGTAGTAGTGGTAGTGATAATGATGATGATATAAAAATTGATAAGCGGAACAACGTCTTGCAAAGACCTGAAATGGGAACAAAGCAGATAGTGTCAAGAAATTATCGCAATACAGGACCAAAAGGTGTATTAGATGATTATAAAATTTGTAAAGCAAAACTTGAAGAGAAAGAATTAAAAAAATATAAACAGGTAAAAATTCTTTCTTTTTTTTATTTCTGTATCAATTAAATATTTAGCTATTCGATACAATTTTTAGTGAATGAATAATCAATATTTATTAAAATATTTAATATTCTATGCAGTGTTTTATTTTCAACATTGTTATGTATTTTTTTCATACTAAATAGTACGTAGTGCATTTATTATAATTAACTATTACATTTTATTCAAATTAGAAATTATATAGAGCAAATAGCACAAATAACTAATCTCAGACAAATAAAATAAATCATAGGCTAATTTTTTCCATTACATTTTATCTTTGGGCTATTATTTTCAAGTTTACTACTAATTGAGCGAAATAAATTGATATTTTTTTGTCGCTGGTATAATAAGTTCAATTGAACTTATTGAACTTGACTTATTGATATAATTACTATCAAGTAGTAATTATCTTGGAAATAAATTGATCGACGGAAAAAGAAATTAACAATAATATATTTATTTAAATGATAGAAATATTATTAGAGTAGCGAAAGAATAATTTTTATAAATAAATTGAATATATAAATTTCCGTTATGTCTAATAAATAAAATAAGTATTTTATCAGTTATTTCATAAAATTTTCATAAACGAAAGCTTGTGTTATATGCCGATACTATTTTCTTATTATAGCATCTTTTAGATTGTTGCTCAAGCCAAAATATGTACTTTATCAGGAGAGTTGCAAAATGATAATTTGGAAGAAATTCGAAGAAGACGATTATTAGAAATGAAAGATTCTTTATATGCCATGAGAAAAGTAAACTTTTCTTCTATCCTAATTTCCTTATTCAAATCAAGTATTTCATGAAATATAGATAGCTTCTAGTTAGTTAAGAGCTAATTTGTTCATCACAGCTTCCACAATGGCATGATTGGAATATGTAAGTCACTCGTTAGTTGTCACTTCATTTCTATTTGAAAAAAAGATTAAATGATGGAAAAAAATAGTTTTCTTTTTTTTTTCTTGCAGATAGATGAATTAACAGAAAAGGAGCAGTTCCTATGTTATATCGAATCAAATCGGGATAAATGGGTTCTTATTCACATTTACGACGATGATAATGAGGCTTGTATAACCTTGAATAAAGTCTTCAATACGCTCGCTATTCGATATCCTCATTTGAGACTAGCAAAAGTGTTACCATTGACGATTGGAATGTCGCAGCAGTTCGTATGTTTAGCATGATTTATTGTAATTTCTTGTTTCTCCCAAATATTCCATAACTCTACATTTGTAACTTAAATTCTTAATTCGAAATCTTTAATTCATCAACATTCATTAGTTCTTTTCTTTTTAATTAAGAAGATGAATGCCCTTCCAACATTGCAAGTTTATCGGAATGAGTCCCTGTTGGGCAACTTTGTCCGTATAACGGATCAGCTTGGAGAGAAATTCACGGTGGATCAATTAATTCGTTTTCTAAGCGAGTTAGTTTTTTTCTTTCGGTAATAGTGATATATGACGTCAAATTATATAATATCAGATTTCATTTCTGTTTAATGCACTTGATCTACTTTTCTTAACTAATATAAAGTTGAATAACCATCGAAATAATGCATACGTATCAGCTGATTGTCATTTAATTTATTAATATTCATTTTTGAAGGAATGAAATAGAGCTAGGAATATCCGAATATCGAATAAGTAATCATGGTGATGACGATATAACCGGTTTTGATGATTAGTGGAAATGCTGTTATAGTTTGAGTTGTGGTTCGATCTTGTATTTCATGTACTTTTTTCTCTTATTCTTCTTTTTGTCTACATTTTCAACGCTGTTTTATAGTATGATTTTATGGTATATGGCTGTATATTTTCGATAAAATTAATCATATTGAGAGAGTGGATTTTTATCCAAGCATATTCAATAGCTTTATGATGCTTGCAATTTATAGATAGATGTAAAAGCATATTAAATGACTGATCCATTTGATTTTTTGTTGACGCTTTGATCATTTTTTTTATACATGCTTTCATGTATTCATTTATTTGAATACATGTTAATAATTCATTCAATTTTAGGTCATTCATTTTTGATATTTGTATTTGTGTATTTTAAATGAATAATGCTGTCTAATGTATTGCTGTTTCTATCATACTAATTACGACAAAGCATAGCATCCATATGGTTAATTATATGTCTCAACTTGGAATTACTGAAAACATTGTTTGAGTTGTTACGTGAACTAATAAGGGAACTGCAGAGTTTTCTTTCTTTCTTTTTTTTTTTTTTTTTGATTTTTTTGATTTTTTTTTAGTAATATAATGATTAAGAAGGTACACAACAAATGGGTAGAAAAAAAAGGAAACTGAAGGAATGGTAGAGGTTTTTTTGTTATAATCATTGTTACTTTTTTATGGTCAATATGTTTTTGCTTATGTCGAGTTATATTATAAAATGAGTGGATTATGTTATCACATTTCAACTAAATTTTAAATAAGTGATAACCAGAAGATAATCAGAATACTGGAAAATTAGCGGTTAATTGTCGGTAACACTTAGTAAGGTCAGAAGTTTTGATAAGGTTTGAAAAAAGGGATGTAGTCTTGGGAAGTTTGAAAAGGAAATTTCAATAATCCGGTAGATGCTACGAGTGAGGCAGGATTTTCAGGTCGATTTTCAAAACGAATTCGAAAAATTCGAAGATTTTCGGTTTCATTGGTAAAAAAAAAATGGTAAAAAGGTTGTGAAATACTTAATATGCAAAATGGATGAGGATCGTTATTTATACTCTCCGCTGGGTATTATGTTTGTTACTATGGGTGAAAATCATGAACAAGTCTCGTTTGCTTATCCGTTTCAAAATGCTTCAACTGTTACATCCGGTGTGCTGTTCATTTATATCATAAATTCAGATAACAATTAGTTTACAACTAAATTTTCTGACCTGAATTATCTATGTTTTTTATAATTTATCATTCAAACATTAAATTTCTTTATAACTATTGAGATGTTGGAGATTTCAGAAATAAATGTATTTTAAAACAATAAAATTAAGGGAGAGAAAGTTGCACAAATTTATATCTTTTTTTTTAGAGTTGCAATCTTTTTCATCCTCTGAACCGTATCCAACTATTTGTGCGTAAGTTCAATTATTTTCCAAATTTTAGAGATCAAATTCTGGTCATATATAAAAATATAAAAATATCGAATAATCTTTTCGTGTAGTATCTAAATTGAATAAGTTTTATATAGAATAAAATTTAATAACTGTAGTACTTGTTAGTAACAGTAAAAATCTTTACTTCTTATTTTCTTACTTTTTTTTTTTTCAGAAGAACTATACTGTGCAGTATGATAAAGCTTTTGTGTTAAACATTTTTTTTTATGATAACGTTAAATGAAATTCACACATTCATTTACAAATTTTTTGCATTTTCTAGACAATCACTGAAAGGTAGTGAAGAGCGTAATAGCAGTGATGCAGAACAATATGGGTATATTTTGTTTTGTAAATTTTTTTTAATAACTTCTTAAAATGCAAATGTTCTCATTATATTTTAAATTCATATGACCAGAATTGCGTAAAAATGTTACATATTCGTTTAGCAAAAAATTAATGCTTTCTGTTCAGGGTACCAACAAAAATTCTTTCACATCTACTCTCTGCTAGGGGTATTTGTGAAAAACCATTCGAAATTAAGATTGATAATATACGATTTGCTGGTTTTCCTAAAACCGTAAGATTTTTTCATTCTTCCAGTGCTTTAATTTCTATTTTAAATTATAACGTGCTTTCTTAAAATTATATTTCATATTATTATGGAATATACTACACCAGAATTTCAAACGGAATGTTTCGAATTTTAAAAATCAACAATTGAAATGATTAAGATTTGCTGATTTCAAAAAAGTTATATTTTTATAACAAATATTCTGTCAATCTTAAGGTCTCACATCCAACCGGTCGCTCACCGCAGACGTTTCATGTTGTTTTCATTTTAATTGCAAAGGTGACAGCTGATCTCGTTACTTCATTTCAGGAACTCAGGTGCTTTTCTTGTTATGAATTAAAATTCTAGACAGAAAATACTGGGAACTTTTGATTAATTCAAAAAAAGTGTTTTTTATAAGTTGAGAACACTGATTATCATCTCTAAATTTTTCAGTCGTAAAATTGCCATTGCAATTGATGAAGAGCAAACACGTTGTGATTATTTGGCAGAACAGATGACAATAATATTAAATGAACATGAAAAAAACGAATCACTTCCAGAAGGTAATTAGATGTAATTTTGTATGCTGCTTAAATTTTGATGCATCATAAACCTTAGAATTTATGAAGACTAGAATATTTGTTTTAGCTTTTGGTTTGAATTTGAATTTTCTAGGTCAGGCATTTCCGTATCATGAGGTGCTAGCACACTGTTCACTGGCACAAGATCTTCGAGATATATTCAGTGATGTTAGTGAACATGGCGTAGTTCACGTTTTCCTAAATGATTGTATTGAGGTGGGCTTTTGCGTCGAACCGCGTGCGCTTTTGCATGCGGGATTGACGCCTAAGACGAGGTAAGTATGAATTTGCATACTGTTTCATTGATTTCATTATTATTGTTCATTATTATTATTATTGTTTGTATATGAAAATCTTCATACAAATTAATTATAGCTTTTGAAAATTCGAAAAAAAATTGCTTTTGTTATGCTTAAGGAGTGAAATAGAGGCAACTATCCGACGCCTACGGCCATATCATGGAATTTTGCTTCTGGAAGATGCTATACCAGGACATGATTCAAATCCGGCATTACATTTTTTCCTGAAACATTGTCATCCGGATCAAAGGTTTGCTTATGTAGGATTTTTTGATCATGTTCAAATACAAAAAAAAAAAAACTACAAAATTAGAATTTTAATTACTTCGTTAGAATTCAAACATTCTTTTCTTTTTCAGTCTAATAAGCATCAGCGACTCATCGGGTCTTTCATTGTTCCAAGTTCTTACTGTCGTTAGACATTTGCTATTATGGGCACGCGCTATCGTCATATATCCACTGTGCAGTAGTAATGTTTACACTTCCGCAACTTCACCGAAACCGTTGTCAAGGTTAACTTTCAATTTCTGGAATTTTCTGTGATGGAAAATAAGTTTTAATAGAACTCTACTATTCAGTTAGCAAAGAACAAACAATTGCAATTTTTAGATGTTGTCTTTTTTGATTATTCAACTTCTGAAAAATCAAAATTAGCAAGAGGAAGTCAGAATTTTGAAAAATCAAAAGCCCATCAGAAACTATTTGTAGTTTTTTCGGAAGAAGTCAAAATTTTTAAAAACAAAGGTTTAAAAAAAGACAGAAAAATTAAAATTTTCCAAATTTTGCAAAAAAAATTACGCAACTCTTGCTTATCCTAATAATTTAATTGTTCTTAAAATGTTGACTTCTTATATTTAGAATGAACTACAGAAACTGGTAAACAATTCTTTCTTTTTTTTCCAAGGCTAAGTGAACAATTCAGTGAAATTTTCGAAAATGCTCATTTACCTACTATACTGGCGCAATTCTCTCCACCATGTACATTAGAGGAATTCACGAACGCTTCAATGCATAGTTTCAGTGAGCAGGTATATTTCATATTGATAGGATAATCAGTATAGAAATACTTAAAGCCTTTTTAAATAACTTCCTATGAATATCTCATCTCAAAATTTCACTCTTATCAAGAAGTTATTGCTGAAACTGAGCTCAGCTTTATATTGACCTTCATTTGACCCCACTAACCTTTTTTACTAACAATGGCAGTTGTACAATTATTTCCTACCCATTTGATATTCATGGTTAAATTTCAAAATGAAAATAAATTTTTTGGAAAAAAAAATGGATTTTTTGAAAATAAGTTTTTGCATCGAGTGAAACATCGAATCAGTGAAAAAATTCCTGTTACAAATGAAATTTTACATCTAATTATGTGGAATAATCATAAAAGAAATTGTATGTAGAAGTTGAAGACAGTAGTTCCAATAACCTGTTAAAATTTCATTAATCTTAATAGTAATAATTAAATTTGAGTTGAAAATGAGTATACTCATTTTCGTGTAATAGTAATGATTAGATTAGGCTAAGGAAAATTTCAAATGAATATTTTATGATACAATTAAACAAACATATAAGTACACAATTAATCGTTCTCATTCATATCATTCTAGACAAAGACGCATTATTTTCAGCAACTTCGCATACGAATGGTTGCACGACTATTGCGAGATGAACTAATCATGCAACTTCATACATTTCTTTATTTGATGCCACCTTTTTCACATGAAATTATCAATGAGTCCGTTTTTTTTTTTTTTTTTCGGAGAAAAAGGCAAAAAATGCTATTGAAAAATGACTTCTTGTAATTTTTTTTTTAAGATCTACTATGGATATAGATCAAGATGATCACTTGAACCGTTTATTGTCAAGTGTAATGTTGACAACCGAAGTTAAAGCTTCAGTGATTCAAGTATATAAAACAATGCTTAAGCGACATCCACAGCAGTGTGCTGAAGACTTGCTTGATCTGTTTTTAAAGTAAGGTTTCATTATTTTAAAAATCTCTCAGAAAAAAGTGAGCATCTGGAAAAGAAGGACTGATACTTTTCAGACTGGTACCTTACTTACGTGGTGAACATCATGTCGAAGATATAATGTATAGAATGAATTTGGAGCGATCATCTATAATGCGTGTTTTGGATACATTTGCTTGCGTAATTGCACCGTTTATGAGACCAGAATATGTTTAAATAGTATTTGTATGAAGTACATAATTCATTGTTATCACTCTTGTTAAAAAATTTTTTTTTTCCAAACCAGTTATTTGGTTATTGAAAACAGCTTAGATACTCTTTTTTCGAAGTAACGACTGCATAGTTCATTTATCAATTTTTAAGTCGCTTCTACTTTTTGCTTGGAATAAACATTTAATTTTCCATTCAAGAAATCCATAACATCAAGAAACTATATATGTGGCGTAACAATATATAAATTGTTCCATTTTTTTTTTTTTTTTTTGTATTTTGTTTGTCATTATCTCCCATAAATTCTGATTGATTTAAAATTGACTTATGTTGTGCCCTTCTGCTCATCGTAATTTTTCTATTCAAGAAATACATATATATGGATTAGCAATATGAAAATTTGTTTCATTCTTTTTGCATTTTTGTATGCAACAGAACTCTCTAGTGTTTACAAGAGTTCATCCGGATTAAGCTTCAAATATCTTCAAGTACATTATAATCAGTGTATTATTAATGGTAAGAAACAAACGCATTTTATGAAATATTAATTTTGCTTCTATTTCTAATTTTTTTCGAAAAATTTGCATACATTTACTGCAATTCTTGCAAAGACTTCTTCCAAAGAAGTGACCTTTTTCGGAATAAGATGGAATGAAGTACTCGATCAAGGATTCGTTTTCATGCTTTGTTCTGAACTGCAATGCTTTGGCTACGGTTAAATGCCTAATAGATTTTATGTGCATTATTTAAAAAACTTGAAGAATCAAAATAGCATTTCACTATTAATTTCAAGAAGATACAAGGTCTTTAAAACTCAGCAACTTCTCTCGTTCCTTTCCACGTGCGACGCCTAATCTCTTTTCTTCCTCATCAATTTTTTTCCAATCATTCCACGTCAAAAACTCTACATTCCGCGATAGTAACCGTTGATATGAACCCGTAATTTGTGCTTCTTTCAAACCATACTTTTGCAAATCGAAACTAAGTCGTTCAGCTACATTTCTGGCATTCATCTAAATAAAAACAATGATTAATCAAGTGCACTCTATTTATAAAAGCGAAAAAATGCAACAAATAGTATATACGCATGCATTCAACTTTTGCGTTACATAATTTCTAAGCCAATATTACTTATGTTATTTCATACAAAAATCATTCAGATCAAACTTGTGTATGCGCAATAATTCCTCGAGGCGTATGTGCGCACCAACCCGAGGCATAGACTAAGATTTCTTCTTCCGTTGCTACACGAATAGCATCAAGCATTTTAATTTCACCATCTTTATTCACTGGTAATCCATCTAGAGCAACATTTTCGAATCCAATACAGTAGAGTAGAAGACCGCATGGAAGATCTTCTTTATGACCGGTCAATGAGTGAGCTACCTGTAGTGCTTTGACCATTCCACGACTGTCCGTCAAAACCTATGATAGATATCTTTGTTCTCCATCGGAAAAAGTTATAAGAAAAATGAATAAAAAAAACATTCATTATAAAAGTCCCCGGAGAATATTATTGCAACCAAGTGGTCAACAAAGAAAATCGAAATTTAAGCAAAATTAAAACAAAGATAACCTATGTCATTAAGGCAGAGAATAAAATCTAGAACAAATACGATAATTTTGAAAAAAAAAAAAAAAAAGTATGAAAATCTTTGGAAAAATACCACAGCTGTAAATTTTAGATTCAAAATAAACCTTTGTTGGTGTTCTACGAAACAGCAATTGGCAATGACGATCGGACATCGGTTTATCCAAATGACTATTATTTAAAATCAGCTCAGAAATACGCTTCTTTGGTCTTGACAATGTATCTTGTGCTTCTTTCACAGCGAGCAGGTCAGAACTTTCAATTTCTACAGAAAATGAGCAATTCGATAGTGTAATTTGTTCCCGTAACTCTTTTATAGTGAATGAAACCTGAAAAAAAAAAAAAAAAACCATTTCAAATCCGAAACCAGTGCTTGGAAAATAACGTTTAGCGAAAACTTAAAATTTCTTTGAACAAATAATCTGAATAAATTTCATCATTATAGTGAGACTTAATTCAAGACCTTAAAAACAAACTAACATCAAGTAGACCTCTTCGACCAACAATGGTTACATGACGTATTTCAGAACGCGAAAGAGTTTGTAATATTGGTGCTGGGATATCGGTCTTCAGCAACCGATCCGTTCCGGCTGAAAGTATCACACGTGAACAATCTAACGCTACGTTACCGTTGCCAATGATAACCTGAAATAATTTTATATTGAGTCTTCAATGAAATGAAAACATGTTAAAAGCAAGAAAAGTGAGAGAAATGAAAAAATTGACTAATTTTTGATTCAATTTCTTCATAACGTTTAAATGTTACTCAAACTGTCACCGCTTCTCTGCAGTTCAAGAGCGGCGCTTTGGTACCAGACATCCCATTATACCAAAATACAAAGTCGCCACCCGAAAAAACATTCGTCGCATCGACTCCGGGGATTTTTAATCGTCTTTGACGTCGTGCACCGTATGCTAGTACCACAGCATCATAATCCGAACAAAGTTCGTCAAATTTGATATCTCGACCAATGTAAACGTTGCAAAATAATTTCAGTCTGCAAAAATACACTTAGGTAAAATTTCCAGCTTTTGTAAGAAATTTTCAAATTCAGTGAAAAAAGATTTAGGAAGAAGAAATATTTGAATGAAGAATGTACAGCTTAATTTCTTATAGATGTGGATGAACGTAAAATATCATAGGAGATAACATAAAACATTGTATAGATATCATAGAAACATATGATTTGTGATTGACAAACTGTAAAACTCTCAAAATAACAACTGATAGTACATAAATTCAAGGAAAATAAGTGGAATAAAAGCTTGTAAGCATCCTGAATAATTAAATATTTATCAAATATGCTAACCAAATATTAGCATGAAGATGAATAGTAATCGAACTTTGAATCTTTTTACACTTCATAATTTTAAATAGTTGAAAAGAAATTCAAAATCTATATGATTAGGTAGTTTATTTAAAGAAAGATTCATTAACAAAATGAGTGGAAGTAAACCGAAAAGAACAGAAACATTTCAATTTCAAAATACGGATGACTCAGGTTAAATTAGATAAAACTTAAATGCTATGTAAAGCCAACTACATACTAGACAAATATTTGGTATTAATTGCATAGGAAAAAAGGACAGTCAAAGTTTGAGTTCATGTATCCGCAGCTTTCCTCACCTATCTTGATTCTCGACAAACAGTCTGTCAAAATGTGCTAAGCAGTTTTTCATTTCAGGATGATCTGGCGCTATTCCATATCGAGCTAAACCATATGGCACCATATTGCTTTCGTAAACATCAATATAACATTGCGGTAATCGGCGAAGTACTCCGGCGCAAACGTAGAGACCTAAAATTTCAAATTCTATTTTTTTTTTCTTTTTTCCTTTATTTTTTACTATCTACCGAATTAAATATCAAAAACATTGAATAATTGCTGAATACAGATGCTTTAAATTACACTGATTAAAAGAGATAAAAGAGATTATATTACTCTTCCATTATCCTATAACTATTATTTGCCCATTTGTTGTCAAATATAAAAGAGACAAATATTGACTTTCACACTCATTTCATTTAATAATTACATATTCAGCTTCATATAGGATGAAATTTTTGTTTGTCAACTAGCAATAACTGTTAGGATAGCAAAAATTTGATGAAAACGTAAAATTACCAGCCGGTCCGGCTCCAACAACAGCAATACGTGGAGACCGTGAAAACGTGGCCAGACTACGTCTAATCCATGACACAGTTACTGAGGTACACAGCTTAAGGATAGTAGCTTCTCTAAACATTTTACCATGCAATATCAACATCCATCAGATGACTAAAACCAATTCATCAGTACTGACACTAAAAAAAAAGATGATAATTTTACATCATTTACATCATTAAGTACCAAATTCATACACCAACTAAATTCCACATCTAGAAAATAGATGACAAAATCAAGTAGTCGGAAAGTTTAAGAATCCTCAAATCTACATATTTCATGTCTCCATCGAATTTATGACTCATACAAATTGAACATTTGTGTTAGGAGAAAAAAAATGGCATATAACGATGCCATCAAATCCACGCTACATGATGCCGAACGTCAGCGCTTTTACTAATAGTCCTGGAACTTCAAGAATTCTCAAATCATCGTATATTCAGAAGTGCGAAATTGTCTTTTCGAATAATAAGAAATGCTGCGCAAAACACCCACACGATTTAATTTACGTTTTATTGATAACGAAAATTGAAAGTAAAATTTATTCAAAACCATTTGAAAGATCAATGAAGAAGAAAAAAGCATACTATAAGCTTTAGAATAAGGGTAAAAAAATATTAAGAAAATATGAGAGTTTTAACAAACATAAAAAGTCAATTCAAACATCATAATAAATTTAGGATAACAATAAGCAAGGAATTGTTTACATTATTCGTCGAGATATTCGTACATGTACGGCTGAAATAAAGCGATTTCGTGTTTTAAAATCCACTTCGTCGTATAGTGGGAATAAATTGTCTGTGACCTAAAATAAAAAATGACCTGAAATATCTTGTTTAACTTAATAATCGACGATAAAATAAGTCAGTAAACTGCTTAATGAAATCCCACATCAATAGCCTACAAAATCAGTTGATGACCTCTTCCAAACGACAGCGCAAAAATACATTCAACAAAGTTGAAGTCCTTTAATCGACCTTTCTGGTTTCAAAACAAGAAAGCCTCAATCCCCATATTATTAAGCTTACAACTTCTACTTTTGATTTCAAATCATATTTAGTAAAGTGATCACTTTATTTATTTTCTGAAAGTTAGCTGGAATTATAAGCTTGGACTAAATTTCTCACAAAACTCTAACCATCAAATTAAAAAATCCCGAAACTTAGATTGGAGCATCTTACTGTGACAGGAAATATTCATTACATACTCTTTCTCACAGCATACTATTCATGTGAACTATATCTTACCTTAACAGTACCAGTTCTGACATCTATTTTCACCGTATCGACTAACTTTCGCTGGATTTGTAATGCAACATTTATCGTCCGGCTAACTGCTGCCCCTAAGCCGTGTAGTACAACTTCATCCATCTTCTCGTCCAGAAGTTTAATTATCCGACCTTTTTGTGCTGCGATACTTGTATGCCTGTAAGTAATAGAAGAACCTCTCTAAGTTAGTTTATTATATTTCTATTTGTAAATAAAATATTTTAGGAAATATAATATGAAACCATCCACCAACGCTTTGCCTTGTTAAAACACAAACTCTTTATGAGCTAGAATCAAAAAATTATGCTAATAATAGTTCAACAGACAATTCATGAAAGAGAGTCATGATGCATCATCAAAATGCATATCTCAAATAATCAATGAATCCATAAATACATAAAGAAAAAAGAACTAAATAAAAAAGAAAGGAAAAGAGAAGTTAACGGACCTTGTTATATAAATGTCATTTTTTTCTTTTGGAAATTGTGGTGGAAGATTCTTCCGCAGTTCGTATTCTACCTGAAAGGTAAAGTATGAAAATACAGTAATGTATAATAAATATAAGAAAAAAATACACGAATATGTAATAAAAAAGAGATATAGAATATATAAGAAAACCTCACTCTTACGCCATAATTTTTTTTTGACCAGTCATTTCACAAGCAGATGACAAATGCAGGAGGCCAAACTACTTAACGTCATTTTTTTATCTTTTTATTCTAGTACACGGAAAGTAAGAAAGATGATGCCAATAATAAGGAACAGTAACAGCTTTTTTTTCAATATATGGAAAAAGTCTTGTATATACATATTTCGAATAGATAAACTTAAGTTATGGCAGTTGTTTGGTGAACATGTAAGAAGGTATTTCTAGTTATAGCATTGCCTGTACACCAAAAAAGAATAAGTCAATGAATCGCTCCAGCTGATTCATTTTTTCGACAGTTTAGTACACTTATAATTGAATGAAAAAAATATTTTACATTACAAAAAAAAAACTGAATATCCGTAATTCAATCCAAAGTATCAGGAAAATCAGGAACAAAGTTTATTGAAGAGCTAAAAAGTAACAAATCCATCATACCTCATCAATATGTGTCATCGCTGCACATCGACAAGATGATTAAAAGAAAAGAACAACGAATGCCATCGAGAAGCAAGCGAGGGCAATCCACGGACTTAAACGCTCTCCGATTCGAGCACACTTCCAAAAGACACCCAGGAAACTGAAAAAAAAAAATTTATTTCAACTTAGTTTAATTTCAATGTATTCATCTGTATCAACATAATCCATAAATTCCAAGAAAGATGCAGTTGAAAGATTCAACGCATAAATAAAATTAAACATTTCCACTACTGTTCATTATTTGTAGTTCATTATTTGTATATAGTGACGTGCCTCAGTTTGCTAACGTATTTTACAAGCTATCCTTCAAAATGAATTGAACTTAATAGCAACGAAATACAGCATTTTAAAATCATTTTGATTTTAATTTTTTAACCAATCTATCATTGCTTTGGTTGGATCTATGACAGTTAACTGAATAAGGAAAAAATCCATGCACGAGTTGTTTTAGAAAAACCAATTTCGAACACAACTATAAAAAAAAAGAGAAATGAACAAAACTAACCCTTCTTTATTACGATCAATCAGCTTCGGTACAAAAGCACGTACATAAGTACAAGTGCAAATTAACAACAAAATTACGCAGATCAGACTTTGGAAATTGAATAGGGCCGACTAAAATTCAACAAAGTTATTTAAAATAAATGTGAATAATTTAAATGGCAATTAATTTGTCAAAATTGAATTGAAATTTTTGTCATTTTAACAAAAAGGTGAGGAATATAGTAGTTACGTTATGCATCAGGTCTAAGATGAAAAATAAATAACTAGACTATTGAGCACAATTTTAAGACGAAATAAGATATAGACATCTCTGAATATTAATGACAATATAAAGTCAAGCAACTTTGGCTAGGTTACAACAATTAGATGAAAAGAAATACTTTGCCCAAATCCAGTCCTATAAATATTGATCAAAATAATTTCATGAAAAAAACATACCAGCTTGAGAAGATTTGCTTTATGATTGCCCTGAAATGAAAAGAAAAAAAAATATTGATTTTCACTCTATTAATATGAATTCATGCAATTTTATATGAGTCATATAGAAATATTTGGCATACGTCTGATGCTACGTACAACCATCAAACTCAATGTCACGTTCAAACATTTCAGGTTAACTTTATTTTTTTTTTTTTTTATTTTTACTAGAACTTACTGTTTTCTCAATTCTACACATTCTACCTCAAAAATTTTAAGATATGCAAAAATAGTCACAAATATTTTGAGTTAGTGAAGAGATAAAGACTACGTGCACCTCCACGTACAACTCAATAAAGCTCCATTCCACGTGTACATCACGCAACCCCAAACGGGAAGCACGCGATGAAAATGAATTCCCAATGCAGTTTTTGATGCATCTTTAGATGCGAATCGTTTTAAGCTAACATTTTTGGCGTGTAAAATTTGTTGAGTGAGATGATACTTCTCTTACACGTATTTACGTAGTACTTTTACATGTACTTTAACTATATGTTAAACCATAACTATGAATATTTATTTGAATGCATGCAAAAATTGGTAAATTCGTAGAGAAAATAATATATTATGTCATAAAATGAAATATGTAAAAAATTGGAAGACATAAAAAGAAATATGTACAGACTTCAATGTTTACAAATAGATATTAAGTGAAAAACGAAAAATTATGAAAGGAAAATCTGAAAAAAAGCTAAGCATTGAAGGAAAACCTCTGACTTTATTTTGTAAAAGATATTTATTGAATATACAACAATATACTCTTATACTCTTCATGAAGTTTAAAGAAGTTAGCGTTGGATTTCAGAAATGTCCTTTATATGTGAGTTAATTAGCGCATACTTAGAAAGAAAATATCAATAATAATGAAGCCAAGAGGACCAAATTTTTTGTTAATGACATTGGAAATATATTGGAACGAAAATTTCTACCAAAAAATTTCACTTCACTTAATGTTAATACTAGTAAAACTTCACTTAATTATTTGACCCTATAGTATACTTGGAAGCCTTCATCTCTCCGGAAATATTAGTAATTCTAATCAAATTTTGATGATAGGAATTGTTTTATCAACATTAATTATGCATGAGGAACATAATAAGCTTGATATTCAAAAGTAAACAAAAGTGAGGATGGAAGAAACACTATAAATCTTGTTCAAAATGCAGACATGTGTTGGATAAATGTTGAAAAAAGATAAAAAGAAAAAAATCCATAAGAAATTAATTATGTGATTTACACAAACAGGACAAATTTCAAGAATACACAGAATATAGAGAAAAAAATCATTTTTTAAAATCTGTCAAAATTACGAAAAACTACGACATCAAAGTGGATATTATTAAGGAAAAAAAGATATGCTAAATATACACCAAATGATGAAATGCACTGATATTAGAAAGGCAATTAAAAGAATTATGTCTGCAACGGTCTAAATTTCAAAGTCTAATATTAAAGTTTGAAACATTAGTATTAAAATATTGTGATGAAACGAAATAAATCTTAAGGTAACAACACAAAAATTATTCATAACAACCCGTATCACCCGGTTAGTATAAAACCCGCAGTTGTATTTCATTCGAAACACTGCTCGAAAAAATGTTCATCATCACCCCAATCTAGGTAAAACTCATCACGTACCAAATCAAATGTACCATCGGATGAAAACGTGAACAAATTATAGCTTCCATCGTCACAAATTGCAGCTATAGCCTACAAAGTTGGCATATTTATTTCAAAGTTAAAAAATATCGAAATTAAGGCATCAATAACCAAACAGAACCGTTAGCACCAAATCCTTTAAGATTCTGATTTACGGCTATATTTCGAGCACAGTCCATCACTAGAAGCTAGAGATAACAAATGACCTGCTAAGCAAAAAATTGGATCAATTTATAAATTAAAACATCCTAATGATGTTCAACTGAACAAAAAACAAAAAAACTTTCCATAACTTACATGGCTGCGCAAAACAAAACGATTTTTGGCATTCAGTTCAATACCATTCGATTCATTACTATTTTTTAAGAAAGCTAATTCAGTAAGTGTAACATTTTGAGTAGCTTTCGATAATTTGAATTGTATCCGCGCTCGATCAGCATCTTCTGATAAAAGACCAACTTGCTGCCATCTGTAAAAAAATTTTATCATTTTCACTTCTATTTTCTGAAATGTCCATGAAATTTTTTAAAAACTCTTTCGACATCAGTCCTTTCAAAACTCCTTCGAAGTTAGCTTTTTCATCATAACCTACAACTTACAGCTTGTTTTCTTTATATAACAATATAAAGTCCAAAAATTTAGAAAACGTACAATGTTTTCTTGTTCGTCCATGTCGGATCATTATTTTTTACAGCGAAAATATGCACAGTATCTTTATCACTTGCAACCGCCAAAAAAGCAGAACAGGGTGAAAAACGTACGCTGAAAAGACCTTAAAAAATTATGTACGACGAAGATCATTTCCTTCCTTGCATTTCACACTGAATAACTTCTACAAATCTTTAATTTTCACCTGCTTCCAGCTGTACAATCACATGTCATTTGATAGAAACACAATGTACCTTACACACGTTAAACTGACAAAGTTTCATTATACTGTGATGTACGTTTATGGATATCAAATCACAGCAAAAATTTTTTGTGTTCATTTGACGAGTAGAACAAGAAGAGATTTCAACACCAAATAATTGGAATTTGCAAAGATATTTCTATGTCATAATTTACAACTAAAACCATTCAAATAAATAAAGGATCTAGCATTAGGAACTGCTTAGCAAAAAAGTGTTATAATTCAAATAAAATAAGATCTATCGAACTGCTTTAATAAAAGATCTATCATTAGGAACTGAACTCTTAACAAATAAATACCTTACATTTACTTTTTTCTTTCTTTTTTTTCAAATATAAAATTGATATACTAACCAATGTAAAGTAACAGGATCAGCGCCTCGCCTAAATTCACGCATTAATTCAGTAGTTTTCGTATCGAAAATTCGTATCACCGTTCCCTGAAATGTAGGGATGAAGTTCCGTAAGACGTAGAAAAGATTTTAACTGGACTGTAGAAATGATGAAGTTTTAACCAAAAAGTCACCGTCAGGATTAAGATCTAACTTTAATAAAAGCCTTAAAATCACGAATTAAATTGAAATCTCCTTTTCATCCATTCATTTTAATGAAGTAAATATGTCTTACTTTATTTGAACCAGTAGCCAAAAGTGTAGCCGTACTATTTAGTGCCAGCTGCGCCACATCAGACTGATGAGCATTGATTAATGTTGGTGTCAAAGTTGCGTGTCTCGCGACATCACGTAAATTGATATACTTCAAAAAAGATAAAAAATTGAAAACAATATAAAAATTACAATTATGGAAAGGTAAGTTGATCCATAAGTTTCATTTGATCCGAACTACTGTCATTTATTATCACAAAAAAGAATAACTGACATCTTTTAACTATTTAATTTGGGATATTTTTTGTACCTTGAAATACAGCCATATATCCTCAAAATAAAATCCACAATTTCAACCATTGAATCGCTGCATTTAATAAATAGGTTAGAATGTTGATAGTTTGAAAGCATTCGTCAAAAAGTCAAAAAATATTGTCCTTGTTTATTAGTGACTCCCTTACTTTAGGTGTTAAAACTATACTGTTTAGTCCTTCCACATTTAAAACGTCCAGGAAATTACAATCAAGGAAGAAAATCTGATAAACCTGGACACTGCCTATTTGATTTCCTGGATAAATGAGAAGCTCCATATTTGGATCATTGCTAAGTTCACATAACCCATGAATATTCGTCCCCGTTTCGATCGTCTTTATTAAATCTAGTTCTTGTGGAAAATTAAAAACATGAATTTGTTTCATTCCTACTAGAACCATTCTGCAACAGTTGGATAAAAATATATAAACAACTAAAGCAGGATTACTTCTATTTTCAATTTTGCTGTCCAAGAAAAAAACGATAAGAAACTGCACGGACGATGGACTAGGGGATTGGATACTCAAAAATACAAACGAAAACTAATAATCAGTGCAGAGAAAATATCGCTGACCTCGTTTTTGACATCTGGAAGTTCAAAATAGGTGAGGTACTGGTATACTCCATGTAAAAGTCATCCTTCCTTCTTTCATCATTCCAAACCATTACTGTAGTAAAAGAATCATTTGTACAACGACTAATCGTTCAAAAAATATGCATAAAATATTTGATTAAAAAAGTTTCCAAATATATCAAATTTCAATAAAATATCATTAAAAGAGTGTTCCAACTTTCATCACCTTACCGACATTTTCAGCATATTTCGGGCAGAATCCACCACTGACCATTCCAAAAAAATTTGAGCAACCAAGAACTTTGCCAATTCTTAAACTTCCAACGATGCGTTTATCTGTAAACAATAAGGATATTAAACAAAAGATTACGCTAAGCATTCCTGCTAGCTATTTTTGTTCCTGTTTTTCCGGTTGTTTTATTCTTATCGAAATGATTGAAGTTCCAGAAATCCACTGAAATCCTTTTTTCCTGAACAGAACCTAAATCAACGGAATAAATTAAATGGAATGCTATGGTGATTAACTTTTTCTAAAAATTCCTTTCAGAGCCTAATTTGTTCAATCGAATGCGTTTCATTTCATGGTCGAATAATTTCGATAATTAATCAGAACCACAACTTATTCCTGCTCTCTTTGTATTCATTATTAATAATTAGTATTACTTAATTAGTACAGTCTGAATATTTGTGCATTTTCATAATGGAAAACTAACCTAACCGGATTAACTCGTGCAATGGACTGCATTGAAAGATACGAAATCCATCTTCTGTAGCTACGGCAAACATATTTTGCTCCGAATTTACAGAAATTCCATAGACCTTCTTCATTCTGAAAAAAGAAATTATTACCATTAACAATTTTAACTTTTGATTTGTGCTTACCATTGCCCATATCGTTAATGTAATTATTTACTAAATTACTTAGAGTCTTAACAGAAAAGTAATTGTAGTTTAAATCTAACTGACAAATTCCTATTTTTTTTTTTTTTTTCAGCTAACTGATAAGTTAATAAGATTAAATGATTCTTTCGGCTGGTTCTTTCGTGATTTTTTTTTTCGCACTGACTATTACTTAGTTTAATTTTATTATCTTCACGGACATGATATCTTTCACATATTATCTAGTTTAGCATAGAAACGATAATGCAAAACATCAAATCTAACCTAAGAATTTCTCTTCATTATTTCTTTACAACATAACATTCAATCTTTTAACAATACAAAATAGAATAAATTTATTAAATATTTTAACTGAAGAAAATGAATTAAAGTATTTTGAAGAATAGAAAGATAGATGATACATATGATAAAGAAACGATTTTTATTAATGAAGCAATCAAATCTTAACAACAACTTCCGTCGACTATTTACAGAAATATTCAAACTTTCAACAAAACAACAATTTTTTTTCTAATTTGCTAAATATTTTAGCTGAAAAAATTGAATTAAACAATTCTTGATGAAAAAAAATGAATGATACAAACAATGTGAAAACAATTTCTACCACTGGAACAATCATAATTCCTCCAACAAAAATCGATAACCCAGTGATTTTGTTTTGCATGATGAACCTACTTCATAGATCAACGGGACGCGTTTCAATTGACGTTGAAATGCAGGACCGCCCCATGCAATTGTGGTAATCGTTTTTGGCTTATGGTTGACGTACGTGGTAATGTCCCTTTGTTCCCAGTTTAGCTAGATTTCCCATTTCTTTTTCTTTTTTTTGTATATACTACTCGGTGATATGTAATATTTGTAAGTACGATGAATAAATTGAGTCTGTAACTTATGAGTATACCAATGAAAAGAATTTTAATTATTAATAACAGTCGGTGCTAATTAGCACGTTAATTTGAATATGGCTGAGGTAAATGAGAACGTTAGCATTGTACACTATTACTTCTGAATGTGTAATTTATTGAATTGATTGTTTTTGCGCTAATTTCTATCACTGAATTTTTGAAATTAAATATGGTAGTTTTGTTGCATTATTATTTAATGGAGTTTATATTTATTTGTTTTATAATAATAAATTGAGCGATTTTATGGTGTTGTCTGACTAAATTAGACGTATTCTGTTTTATCTTGAATTTAAGAATATTTTTGATTTTTTTTTCTAAACGTTTAGTGCTCTGTGAAGTGTGAAAAACTTTTTTTTTTTTTTAAGCTCTCCTTCACATTTGTAAAGTTTGTTGGTTAATACGTTTCACATGTTTTACCTATTTAGCACACTGATTTAAAAAAAAAAAAAAAAGAAAGAAAAAAAAGAAAAACGCATACGTCACGTTCGTTTCGTACGGATTAGATTTATGTTTCTAAAACTTTTATAATTTTCTTCAAGGATGTCACGTAATATTGTTCGTAAATCGGATTATGGTGCTCCACCGGCTAGAATGTCAGCTGGAGCTCCTCCTAGCCTTCCAGTGCGGCGCGCTTCCAAAGGTTTCTTTGTAATTGTTGTCATAACAGGATCCACCACATAGCCTCTAGGCATATTACTGGATTCAACACTAGTTTTGCTTTCGTAGGATCCAAATCAATTACCATGGCTTTTGTAAAAGATCCAAATTTATTTCCTATTCCTTAGATTACTATTTTTTCATTTCCAGGTGGTTTCAGAAATGTTACTAGTACAATTAGTCGTAAGCGACGATCGGAAGGTAATCTGGAAACGGAGGATTCGGATTCGGAACAAGCATCCACAGCCGATGACCAGGAAGAGAATGGAAGTGGTGATGATATAAAAAAGGAAGAAGAGCAAGAGGAGAAAATCAAGAAGACGCCCCGTAAAAAACGTCGATTTAGGTACATTTTTTTTCCACTTGGATAGTATATTTATTTATTTATTTTTAAATATTGCTTTGAAAAGTAATAAGTTGCAAGTTCTTGTAGATTAACTATTGTCTTCACTTGTAATCATATTAATCATTATTACCAGTAACACTTCACTACTGTAATTATAGGTTAACGGATTCAATAGCAAAAAGCAAAAGACGTGCTGAACGAAGGGCACAATTAGCAGCCGAACGTAAAGAGCGTGAAGAATCCAAACAGCAGCAGGAGGTAACTTTTTTATGACATAATATATTTCATTCAACTTCCACAGCAATAAAAAAAGCTGAAAAAGGGAGATGGGGTACAACAACAATATTTAGACAATATTTAGAAGCAGAATTATAAGATAAATATATAGTTTCGACTTGAAACTTCGAATCTATTACCACCTTTACTTATAGTTTACCACTAATTAAAATTTTCAAAAATTTATAATTTATCTTAAAAATTCATGGTTTTAGGACGAAGTTAATGATGAAGTGAAGGAACATTCATTGACACCGCCACCGCTTCCCAAAGCATCAACTGTTCTTACGTATTCACCCATGCAGCTTTTTTGCGACAGTTTGTTACGTAAGATGAAAGCCAAAGATCCCGATGAATATTTTGCATTCCCAGTGACACAGCAAGTTTTGAATTAAATCATATTTTCTTTTAATATAAAATTACTCTCAAGATGTCGAAATGATCTTATTCTATAAGGACTTAAATGTTTCCGTAGTAAAACTTTTTTTGACTGCCGCTTGTGCAGTTTTTTCAAAATTTTAGAAATACTGCTACAAATTGAAAAACAATTTTTCCATACAGTAATTTTAGCCTATTTGAGATAAATTTATTTATAATTTCGTATTAGAAGGCAAGCGCTTAAATTCAGGTCGATGGCACCAGATTATCATGAAATAATCAAGGAACCGATGGATTTTGCCACAATTCGACAGAAAATCGATCGGGATGATTATCCAGATATTACGACTTTTAAGAAGGATGCCGAATTAATTGTTCATAATGCAATGGATTATAATTCACCTGGGACTGTGTATTACATAGCAGCTCAAAAGATGGATCTAATTGTACAGTTTTATTTCTCAGAACCATATTTGCGCTATCTTTTTCATACCCTTCCGTTCAGCAAGGTAAATTTTTATATTTTTCGGTTATATTATTTTATTACTTTAAATACTCAGGCAGTTGAGCAGAAACTGTCTCACCTTGTTATTACAATATTTCCTATGGAATTTGAGTTATCAGTAACGATTGATTCGGATGCTTTATATTCTTATATTATCTCCGTATTGTTCGTGGCAGTATTTAAAGAAAAAAAAGAAAAAAATTCCGTTGTTAGCTATTCATTAGTGACAGTATTTTAAAACGAAGATAAGTGTTTGGAATTTTAGATAAGTTTTTGAAAATTAGCAACGTAAAATGCATATTGATAGAGGTAGATACGGAAAAATTAGAAATATTAAAAGCCATAGGAAATGCGTGTCTCATTAATTAGAAATTTTTTGGTTTTAGGGTAGAATATTTCATTATGATTGTCCTATGGTTTTTGTATTTTGCGTTCATTCAGTTTTTAAATTTTTACCTTTACTATATATATGCTGTTCAGTAATGGTACTTCAATGTCAAACCTTTATTTCTAGGAGATCCCGCTGGAAAAGTTAGGTCTGACATTGAAAACCAAAGCGCGACCACTACCAAAAGCGGATTACAAAACGGCAGTTGTTGATGATGCAACACCGTCAACTGTTTTGGAAGCAGTAGATCCATCTTTGAAACAAAAGTTATCCAGTCGTATTCCTGATCTTAGGATTTTTCCTACTGGTGATCAGGAGGACGGCATAGAACCAAAAAGTCACCTTGCATTTTTGGATAACAAAGATGGCGCTATTTGTTTGAATGTTATCAATCCGAGTTCATCGGAGAAAAAAATTATCACTCTTGGAGATATTGTGGGTAAGCTAGAGGAAGGCACACCAGGACTTTGTGCTCCTCAAGAACACAAGTCAAACCATCAGGTTAGTCGCCTCATACTTCAAATATTAACATAATCGAGGATCTTTGTTACGACTGTTGTCGTGACAAGGATAATGATTGTATCATTCCCGTTTGTTCATCCCTTGCATCTATGTACAGTGCATAATTTCATTTTCGTTTCTACTGAATACTGAGACATAAAAATTTATATTATTAGATTCTCGTACCAATACTTCAGAGTTTGATTTGAATACTTTTCATCGAGATGAACTGCTGAAAATGGATAATTAGATTAGCACTGGAAAAAATCAAGCTAGAGAAAAAATGAAGTTAGAGCAACTGATTGATTCTGTTGCTGCTGCAGTAAATTCACCTTTAGAACCATGATTTTATTTTATTCAATTTTTATGCCTTATTTTGCTTTCAAATTTCCCATTTATCATTCTAAAAATTTGTTTTTTATCAGTCATTTTATCACGTAGCATAAGCTCCTAATTAAGCATCAACTATGAAAAATGTTTCCAGATTCCGATTTCCTATGTTTCATATGGACCATTCAGTTCTTTTGCACCTCAGTTTGATTCTACGTGGGCAACACTTTGCGAACGAGATTCGCGTTTACTGTTGGGCACCTACGGAGATAGGTCAGCTTCTAATAAAGTTTTAAAATTTGGTGGAATAATTATGATTGCAGAGTTTTTTTTTTTTTTTTTTTTTTTGTATTTAATAAATATTACATGTGAAGAATTTATATTTTGTTTTTGTCATAAATATTTAAGTGTTGGAATAATGGTATGTTATTTATGTTTGCTTTTGATTTCACGTTTAGAGAGATTAGGATCATAACCTTTTTGAATAAATGCAAAAATTAGTAGTACTATCGATAGTTATATAAGTAATTTCAAAGTGAATTGTAGCAAACAAGTTGTATGAAATAATTTCAAGGTAAATTTTAGCAAAACTTTTAGAACTAATGTAACAAATGCCATATCCTTACGAGAAATGGTTGATAATTGCGGCGAGTATATGATCAAAGTTGTTGATGATTTGCTAGATACTTTGACAAACGGTGAACATCGCAGAACTATCAAAGCTTTGGAAACTGATGCGGACAAAAGCAGTGTAAGATAACGTTTTTTTCGGCAAAATTAGTTAAGAAAAATACTCTTTGAAATTCTACTGCAAACTTAATTTATTTTTCATTTCATAACGTAGAATCGATAAGAAAAATTAGTGTGAAATGCTGAGAATTTTCTCTATTTTTAATATTAAACGATATCATAGGTTTCTCAGATGAAAAATGCAGTGGATAAAATTGATTTGAATAAATTGTTGAATGATGTTGAGTCACTCGAAAATATTGGGATTGATGTTTCATTCACCAGTGATATAAGGAAATTATACAAACTGCAAACGGTACAAGAAACTCGTCAGGTATTTTTTCATTTTGTGAGGTCTATTCATTTATTTTTATTGAAAAGTAATCATATTGTTCTTCCAAAAAATTTGTTTTTTTTTTTGAAAAATATATGTCTCTGTTTGAACATATGATCATGAGTGAAGTTTATTGGTTGCATGGCTCGTGATTAGTTTTTTTTATGTATGATTGTGATTATTTTTCAACTTGTTGTATAATTATCAGTCGTCCAGTAAGAAGTGACTGATTGATTGGTACACTTCTTTCTTTACCATATTTCTCGAATTCCTTTGAAAATGGAATTGCACTTATTGATTTTCCATCTTTCAGGCTACGTTGAATAAAACTGGTGTAATGATCAGTGATCTAGCGTTGCTACAAAAAAATCGACTTAATTCGGTCCCACCGACTACTCTAACTGAACAGCCGCCACCTAGCAGTCAAGAGCTTAACTTAGCCAACAAAGTGCAAGGAAAATTGCACAGCCAAATAGCGCAGTACGCCAAACCTGGAAATGTTATCTCCCCACCTGTAATTCATAATGCTGTAGGCTTAAATGAAGAGGATATTGACTTGTTGAATGAATTTTTCACTGCCGCACCGCCAACCACTGTGGTGTAGTGATGGTTAGATCTCTATTATTTTCAAAGATTCCTGTTAGAATAGAATTAGCAAGTGGCAAGACTGAAGCTCTCTTTCTTGTCTCTTCGTTTTATTTTGAATTTGGCACGGATTTCTGCACCATATTGGGAATGCCGATGTTTTTGAAAAATTGGGGAACGCAAAAGAAAATTTTTTTTTTTATATATTTTAATACTACATTAATCTAATAATTCATATCGTTCAGCGATAACTTCAGAACTTGTCATTGCTTTTGTGATATGCTTAAGTTCATGAGAGTATGTTTAAACGTAATTCGATTTTGTTTGAGTTGAGCTATTGTATATGATCTCTATTATATTACATTTTATGAAATGTTGAATCGTATAAATTAAAAAATTAAAAAAGGATTATGTACTTCATTTTTACACTGCAACCGCACGCGTTACACAATTAAAGGACGTACTGATGGCAGTATACGCGATAGCAAATGCTCAATTCAATCTATAGTTCGTCTACATTCATTTATTTGATGCGTTTGTCCAAATATCAACAACCGTTCAGTCGCAGAGTTGCAGAGTGTTCTTTCAGTCTTACGAAATTGTTGAGGAAGGACGACTTTTCTATGTAATTGCAAACGAGGCAGAAAAGCCGTAACTGAGGAACCAAAGATTACGACTTAATCTGTAGCGTTTGCGCTGCTCTTTAAATTGGCGTAAGAACCGCACGAAGTGGGCGTAACAATGTTTGTCTCCCATCTGACTCAATTTCTCTTTTGAATTGGCAGTTGGTTCTTAATTCTTGATCTTGATCTGTTTAAAGATTAATTGCATTTGAATGCTATAGCCATTTCCCACCAATACATTCATCTTTCATCACCATCCCCATAACACATGTTAGTTTTTTTGAATAGATGTTTCAAATTTCGATGAATTTTTCAAAAACACATGAAAATATAAATTATTTTCACAGAATTCTTTTAACGATTCTATCACATCAATAATCAGAGAGGTCTAGATCTACACAAACATTCACATCAAAGATAATAGTTGTCAAAAGTTTCTCTAATATGTGGAAGTAAGCGTTTCGAATTGTGAAGTATAACTCAGTGTATTTTACTTGAGCTATGTCCAAGAAGTTGTCGATGCACTAAAGCTCGATAAATACCATCTTGTTCCAGCAAATCATCATGTCGGCCTTGCTAAAACAATTATGAAATGTGGATTTTTATAGATAATGGCTAAATCGCAATTTATGTATGTGACATGTCAATATTGATTAAAGTCCAGATGTGCCATTTATATTCCGAAATATTTTAAATAAGCCAAGATGATACTTATAGCATATTGGCTACTAAAAAAACAAGAAAATTCTATCTTTTCCGATCTAAAATTTGCATGAATTATAATATGACCCTGAACTAATTCAACTACTCTAGTTTTCTAACTGAGAATTAGAACTTCAAATCTTTTTAGAATTTTATATGCTAGTAGCAATTAAGCTATTATAGCTAATTAGAAAATTTCAATTGAACGAACCTGCACCACTCGTCCTTTATTAATGACAATAATTTGATCAGCATTTTCAACTGTACTTAAACGATGTGCTATCACTATAACTGTTTTATCCTTCGAACACTGCGCTATAGCATCTTGTATAACGTGTTCACTTTCTGCGTCTAAAGCTGAAGTTGCCTCATCTAATATAAGGATAGCAGGATGACGAACCAAAGCTCGTGCTATAGCTATACGTTGCTTTTGACCGCCTGAAATTTTGAATGCAACACAAAATATGAAAAACATTCCCTCCTTTCCTCTCTTTTTAATCTCAAAACTATTTTCCATTATTCTTTGAATTTAAAAATTTGTGCTAGACTTTAAAATTTGAAAAAAAAAATCTAAAAAAGTAAGGCACTTGAAGAGGTAATGAATGACTGTCAATAAAAGGAATGTTGACGGAAAAAAAAAGGAAATGGTCCTCTCCTGTAATTTTTATCTTGGATGTATCAGAAAAACAATATCGTCACATTTCTTTACTACTGAATAACAGTGCATAAATTAGTACGTCACTATAACTGTTATGATAACTTCATCAAATTCTAGAAAATCCTATCATGACACAATAATATTTTCAAATAAATCACCTGACAATTGAATACCCTTCTCACCACAGTTTGTATCATATTGCTTTTCCGTTTCCATGATGAAATTATGCGCATTAGCTATTTTAGCAGCATTTAATACATCTTCTTCGGTAGCCCAATCACATCCGTATACAATATTATCGCGTACCGTGCCTTCATATAATATTGGATCCTGAGCAACCAGAGCTATCTGAAACAATTTCTCGAATTTTATTGATCAACTTTCATTCATTGCTGTATTAAAAATACACAGTTTAAAAACCATTTAAAAAGTCTATCAAAAAATGAAAAACTGTTGCCACACTTGAATCATTTTTATTTTCAGCGAGAGAATCTGTCTAAAGCAAAACTGAAATAACAAATTTACTTTTTGATGAATATACTCATGATCATAATCTGCCACTGGATTTCCATCAATAAGTACGCAGCCTTTATCACATTCGTAAAAATGTTCAATCAAAGACACGATTGATGACTTCCCACCACCACTTGGTCCAACCAAAGCAACAGTCTGACCTGGATGAACGGTGAAACTAACGTCCTATAATAATTTTTTTTTTCTATATCTTGAATTTTAAACATAAATTCAGGAATGATGCGACGCATAATTTATTTTTCGAGTGGAATAAAATACAACTAAAAATACGAGTGGAATACATTCCTTCACAATCTGTCATCAAGTGTGAAAATATAAGTCATAACAAAAAATGGTGACATTATGATCATTTGTACCACAATTTTGAAATCATATGCCTTACCTCCATGAAAAATATTTGAAATGTAAAAGAAAATGCCAGAAATTTTGACAAACCTGCAAAACAGGATTGTTTGGCCGGGAAGTGTATGTAAAAGATACGGAATCGAATTTAACTTCTCCGTTAACTGGTGTCTTTTTCGTTCCAACATGAAGAATTTTTGGTTTACGCATCATATATTCGAAAACTTTCCTTGATGCACCAACACTTTCCATCAGACCCGTAAATACATAACTGATGTTCTGGAAAATATCAACAGCAGATCTAACGTGATCAGCAGCAAATATATAACAGATATTAAAAGATCCATCACCATATACAATACTAATGAGATGAAAATGAAGATTTTTCTATTTCCGATTAAGCATCAACTAAACCGTGCCGAAATGGTATAACCAGAAAAATTTGAAGATTAAAAAAATGAACTCTCTAAGAATGTTGATCTAACGGTCTTTTAAAATATAACCTACTAAACAGAAAATGTAATGTAGTAAATGAATGACTGGTTAGATCTTGTGTAGCTGCAAATATCAATTATATCAAATCAATTATTACTGGAAACCTACATAGAGATTCTCTCCAAGTTGCATTTGATATAATAAGAAAGATATCAAATTATCAACTGTCATTTTTCCTGTAACAAAAGATAGTTATGCATTCGAGATGAAGTGAAGACAATGAATAAGGTACTGTGAGTTGTAAATGAAAGTAAACGCTAAGTTTTTATTTAAATTTTTTAGATTTTTATGCAATCATTATCAAAACTAAAATTTCAAATTTAATATTGAAATTGAAAAAATCACCTGATAAAACAAGATGGCCACCATAAAAGAGCACAGCAATCAGGATAGCATTATCACAAAATTCGGTGGTCCACATATAACCCATATAAACAATTGCTTTTTTTTTATTTAAATTCAACGTTTCATCCAAATGTTGCTGAAACTTCCTAGCTTCACGTTTTTCACAAGCGAATGATCGCACTGTTCGCATAGTACTAATCACTTGTTCTGCTACATGATTCGAAGTCGCTATTGTTCCTTGCGTTTTTTCCGTTAGCAGCTATAAAAAAGTGAGAAATGGTAATTAAGGAGAATGAGAGAATAGAAGAGTAAATAGTAGACTGATTAGGAAGATGCATTCAAGAAGTTCAGATAAAGAATAAAGGTTTGATAGGTTTGAATATTATAAGATATTTTTTGAAAGAGAAAAAACTTTTGAAAAAGCTTTCTTCCACAGTTTAATGACCAAAAGATATTCAAGAGGGAAGTTTAAACTCAGTCATCGAAGATCAGCTTGAAAATAAATAAAACTGATCTAATTTAAGTGGAACATTAACAATTTTAAACTTACATCATAATATGCACCGTAAACTTTGGTTATGAAGCCAACAACTGGTACAATAATGAAAGTAACCAGAGAAAGGCGCCATGAAAGAGTGATCATGAACACTAACGAACCAAGCAGCATGACAATGTTTCGGAGGAAAACGTTTAAGTTCGTAGAAACTGTTGAAGACATTGTTTCACAATCAGTTGTTAGTCTTGATGTTATCTCACCTGATTAACACAAGTAAAGGTTAAGGAAAGTAAATGTGGTCCGATAATTAATTCCCTAAACATCTGAGTTTAATTCTCTAAATGAACATCCAATTTAATAATTCTTCAATAAATAGAGCTAAATACCTGTGTTAGTCGTATCAAAGAAGCTGATATCTTGTTCCACTAACGAATTAAATAAATCGTAGCGCATTTGACGATTGACCAGTGCTGTAGCGTAAACGAAACTTCCACCTCGCAGACCACCAGTAATTGTGCTAAATACTTTAAAAATTAGCATAAAAATCTTCAAGTTTCAATAAAATCTAATAAATATAAGTGTTGAAATGTAAGCGAAAAAATAAAATAAAAAGCAAACCTTACGAAAGTTAAAGCTACCATAAGCAACACAGAACGGACTAAAACAACAGCGCCTCGACCTTGCACTATATTTGAAAGTACTTGACCGGTACAGTATGGTAAAAACACCCGTGCTTAAAAAAATTGATTTCAGATTTTATTTTTAGCATTTCCATTAGTTGATCTCGAACTTTGAATAATAAATCTTGTCGTTAAATAAAGAATGAAGTTAAATTTGTTAGATTTTAATTTAATGCTTAATTATCATTTCCAATTATGAACTCAAATTCATAACACAAAGAATTCAAATATTAGGATTTGATAAATACACACCAACAAATTGGCATTAAAAAAACTGGAAAAAGTATAATTTAATATTTAAATAATCCCCCTGATCAATACTATCCAAAATGTAAAATTTAATAGCATATGAATTCATACATGAAGAATAGATGATGAGAAAGAAGAAACCAGTTGCGAACCATATCCAGTGAAATTTACAATATCGGAGTAGTCGCAAAATATGTTGACCAGTACCAAAACGAGTAGATTCCTCCTTAGTATCATGCAATCTTGATGGCACATCCCGTGTTTCACCCGTTAATGATTGATAATCCCAGGACGTGTTACGACGTAATACAAAATTCCAAAGTAACATAATGAATATAGCGGCTAGTACATTCCAAGTAACATTTAGCCAAAACCCGAAATAAGCAAATTGCTCGATTTTCTCCGAGAATGCGAGTAATTTTATCAATGAAAATGTCCAATGTAGAATAAATACTCCCAAAAATGGTATAAAAAGTTTTTCAAGCCATGGATATTCACGACTGACTTTGAGCATAAGACAAAATAGCATTATGAGAAGTCGAACAACGGTAAAGACTAGAAAATCAACGGGAGAAGTGATAAACTGATATGGCACATTAAGTGCTATATAATCCCAGATAATATGATCATTAAATTTGAATGATTTTTGATAAAAACCAAAAGCGATCACCGAAACAGCAATATCTATGCAATAGTACTGAATAATTAGGAGCGAAATTAACCAGAAACGCATAATTCTTGAACTGAAAAAAATTATTATACATTCAAGTTAACTATCAATCATGCGATTATAAATGCTACGAATGATGTAACATTTGATTTCTAAATATTACCTTTGATAATGATTACTTAATGAATGATAAAGACTAATAACAAATCCATTATTGAAAACATTTCTTTCGTGATATATTAATTTCAGAATATCGTATACCTCAACCTATTTACTATTTACATTATTAATTTTATTAAGCAGCACCTAATGAATAGGAGGAACAAACATAAAAATTGACTTTTTTAGTAGATGCACGTACTCATTCTGCTTATGTAATGCAAGCTGCGTGTAAACTGCTGTCACGTTTTATAAGCGCATCCGATTTTTATCTGGAACTGTAATAAATTATGTTAGAAATGAAGAATTCTTAAAATTAGAAAGATAAGTGAGATGAAAGCAATATGAAAAATTCATTTCTAATATGAATATTTCAAGCGTAAATATTACAATAAATGTAATGTATGTGAACATTTGCCCAAGATGTTATTGATATTCAAATTCATTTGCATATTTGAGATTTAATTCTTATATTATCTCTCAATTTTCTTTTTTTTTCTTTCAAAAATAAATATTACTAATAACAACACCAACTGCATTAAACAGCAATTATGATTATAATGTTAATAATATTTATAACTAAAACATTAACAAATAATAACAAACAGTATTAATAACATTTCAAAAAGCAGAAATTGATTATAAATTATATAATGTCGACCCATCAAACAATTAGCAATTGTGACAATTACTCATAATTTCCCCTTTCCCTCTTTCTCTTTCTTTCTCCTTTTCTTTCCTAGGAAAGAATGTTTATTATTGTGATTATTTGTTTACAACAATGGTTGGTTATTTGTTTATTGAAATGACTGTTTGCGAGATTACAATTTTTCCTCATCTATAGCATTATCCTATCAGTCTTACTTTTTATAATTTTAATTAATTAGTTCATGAAACAAAACAAACAAATCCATCGTTATGAATGAATTGCATCAAATAATCCAACTATTCAGTTCAGTTATCCAATCATTCCTTATGGCTAAACTAAAAACAATCTTCCTAGTACTTACGTGGAACATTTATTATACGCAATAACGTATATTATACGTAATCTCAGTTACATACCAAATTCTTTGTGTTTCATTTTACAGAAAAATCAATTCAATTATTAATTTTTTTCTTTGAAAAACACATTGAGCGGTGTTTTTCAAACGCTCAAATAACGACAATTGATTATCACTGCTAGCACATGATCCATTTGCTTACGTAGTACATGATCTAATACTTACACGTATGTCATACTTAAACAATTTCCTCTGATGTAATTATAATTGTAAAACAAAATAACTGCAACAAAAAGAAAATTACATTCATCTTTACACATAATATACGATTTAACTCTTAAATATATTACACTTAATCTCATATTTTAAATGCGTATTGTAATGTTACTTTACGTATTCATAATTTGCTTTCAACATATAAATATAGTTTATAATTCTAATACTTACATATACAATAAATTGTCATCTTTTTACTAATATAAATTGTATTAATTAATTATTAATACTATTTATGCGTACATTATAATTTCATCTTAATCTCTTATCATATCAATAATGTAAATAATTGCTTTAACAATTCTTTCTTCCTCTTTTAAAAATTAATTTATCACATAGTATATAGATAGATAGATAGATAGATGGATGAAATGAATGCAAATCACATGAAATTCACCACTATTTTTCACATGAAAAATCTTTTTTAAACAAATTTACACATTTTACACATATCATATGATGAAATAGTTGTATAACAAATCAACCGTAACAGAGCGAAAAGGAAAAAAAATCCTATCTGTTTACTATTATTAAATATTTTGATCTGAAAATTTCAAATAAATTTAAAGTAAACGAACGAAATTTTTAATCCTTTCCACATAAAATATAACTTCTCCAATCAATCAAAATTTTCCAGTATCTCTCTGAGATTTTATTTGAAAAAATCCTGAAACATCAAAAATCTTCAGTAGCAACAATAACAAAAGAAAAGAAAAATAAATTAGCAACCAATTAATCAATCAATCGATAAAATTATTGTAGTAATAATTCTTTTTTGTGGTATATGTTTAACACTTATCAATCTTAAAACTTTATCTTAGCTATTTTATTACTACCAAGTAAGTTAAGGTAAGTCTCAGTTTTATTTACCTAACAAATTCTTATGCTCATTAATAAAACTGACTTAATTCATTCATCGAATATAACAAAGCATACAATAATTTACTTATATCAAAAGAAAAAAGTGCAAAAATATATTTTAGCATTCATATTTTGAATAAAATGAATAAAATTTTTAACAACAACAATAATACCAATAAGAATAACAATAATAATAATACCTTTAAAGAATTTAAACAAAAGAAATCAAAACTTTAAAAATAAAAAGAAATGAAAACTACCTGAAAAAAAAAAGAAATCACATCTAAACAGAATTCTCACTAATTGTTTCACTAAAATTTCCCGATACCATTGAAACGTCTCCTGTTTGTTATATTACAGAAACGTAAACATACGTATGTCCCATGCGTATCTGTCTGATATTCCCTTCCGTACGTGTTTGTTACATTCATTGTATGTATGTATGTATGTGTGTGTGTCTCTTTATGTCTGTGTGATATACGTGTATATGTGTGTGTACGTGTCTGCCTGTGTCTGTCCATCATCTATATATATCATATCTCTAGGAATACTCACAGAGCAACACAAACAACACAGCAAGACCAACTGAATTTCATTGATTGCTGTGCTTCCTTGTGTTGCCTTTGTATGTGTGTAGGTCCATATCTTTGTATGATGCGTGCGTGTATGTGTGTGTATGTCTGTATGTCCGTCTACATACGTGACAGACTGACAGACACATACGTCGATTTTCATCTCGCACTCAGCCTTTTGCTGAAGAAGGAAGTCGATCGGTTAGAGTAAAACTTTTTTTTTTGTTGGGTCGGTCATTATCATTGAGCATTCTGACATTTTTTGTGCTTTAATTATAACTATATTTGTTCATAATCTAATTTACTTAATTATTTAATCGTACGTAATATTTATTTAACAAATTTCATATTGTTATATCTATGGTATATGAATTTATCTCTTATCTCTATTTCCTATTGTTATTGTTATTGTGGTTATTGATGTTAACATGGATCTGTTTATCTTATTTTATTTTGTTTTTCTTATTTTCTTTGAAGTTTTTAATTTCAACTTTTTTTTGTGATAATTTTGAAAATGTTTAATGTTTTACAAAAATTGCTCATCGTTCTTTTCTTTTTTCATGTAAGTTACGCAAAGTAAGCTTTTTTTTTTTTTTTGTTTCCAGGGAGAACTTCAAATTTATTTTGTATTTCAATAAAAATTTTCAGAAATGTTCTTCTATACAATTAATCTATGTGCTACGAAAGGTCACGTGGATTTAGCAGTATAATTAAGAGAAGCGGTAAAGGCATGTTTTGCGGGCCGCTTTTTATGGAACGCAAAATTACTACACTCTTTAGATTCTTGCACAGCCTTTTTCCGAGTCTATTGATTTTCCACTTCTTTTTCCTAAACGCTTCAAATAATTACTTAATGTTTAATAAGTTTTAAAATAACTTTCAAGTTTCGATTTTCGATTTCAAGTTTCAATTCTTACCTTATTTATCTTCTTGCAGCCATTATTAAGTAATGTAAGGCAGTGCAAATAAAATAAATTAAATAACAATAGTGTAAATTTATGATAAGTTGTATACCATTATTTTCAGTTTTCTCCTTTATTTCCCTCTCCTCTCGATTTTATCCTAAAATGTTTTTCAGGAAATTTCAAATCTTTGATCCAGGAAATTGACTGTATTCTAGAAGATATTTACGGAAGCTCATAAGTTATCTTGCTGTTCTGTTTTTTCATTTCATATGATATTTTCTAACCGGTTTGAAGATGAATGTAATAACATGATATGCTAAAAAATAGTGAATTTGTCATATCAGTGTGTTTCAGAGGGAAATTATGACTTCAACAAAGGTTTTTGTCACTTTTACTTTAGTTTGTCACTTTCATTATTTCATCGAGATTTCATGATTAAAGAGAGTGTTATATTTGTCTTTACCACCTATCATTATTACTGTAATATGTCTAATCGTTGTTATTTCACGGTTCCATAATTTATTACTAGTGATCAGTAGTCTTATCAAGGTTTTGGCAATCAAAATACTATCCGGCGATGTCAAAATTGATCCGAATGAAGTTCGAAGGCATTGCATTTTTTCGAAACTTGGTGATATAGATCGATGATATAGATGGTATGGATGAACTTTTTGGGGTTTTAGGTAAAATTATGCTGTTAATATTCTGTTAAGTGAAGCTATTTATGTATTTCAGGATGCTCAATAATGTATTAAGTACTGCTATTTGAGTACGGCTAGAAATCCTAAGCTTCAACATTAATTAATTCATCAATCGGAGGAATTTTTAACTTGAACTTGACTGGTTTTATCTTACAATCTTAAGTAAACGTTTAATGTATTGAACAGGAAGGCAATTTTCGACATTTTTTAATAGTACAAGACTGCTGACTTTATATCGCACAATTAATTAAATTATCTAATATAGGCGCGTTTTCAGATTTTTTTTCCAGCTTCTGCATATATGCGTAATCGATTATACTTACACCTCGAAATTAAACCGACATCAATATTTCATGCTTTTCTGTCTCACATTTTGCAGTTGCAACCCATTACCCATCGTTTGAATCTACGTCATTAAACTTATAGCTTAACGATTGACATCGTGAATTTGTGAAATTATTGTAGGATTTTGTCTGAAATTTGAACAACTACGCGACTTTCTAGCCGTAAAATTTTGCTAAAAATTTAATAAGTTACCTTTTATTTTTCAGATTACTTAAGATGAAAGTTCACGTGGACGATGTGTACTTTATTAGCTGAACAAGTGAGTTACGTGCTGCTTGTGGTTTTATCATTTCGCGATCAACACTTTCACTGTGTTGCTATCATTCCAGTTGAAGCAAAGCTAGGAAGTATACAGGGAATCCGGAAATAATGAGCGAGGGGGAAAAAGATTCAACAGGCCATGATCCGGATCCGTCCACGTCCAAATACTCTGAAGAATCTACCTCATCGCGGTCATCGAGCCGTTCGAAGCTTTCGGCAAGTCCGGTATGCCTCGAAGAACAACGGGTACAATTGAAACTGGCGAGTCCACTTGGTGGTGAGCCACTTACTTTCATGTGGCCACTACGAGAAGTGTCTGGTTATAGTGAAGGTCAAGAAATTCTAGATGTTGTAAGGTAAATCTTTTTCCCAAATAAAATTTGTCTTGTGTGAGAGACCTTTGACCTAAGATTATCCTAATCGATGAAAATTTCCGAAATATGTAGGGTCTGGTGATATATAAAGAAAAAGTAGACAGTATGATTTTTTCTTATGCTTTTCAGGAATGCTCTTTCATCGTTCCCCGAGCTTAATTTCATTTTGAGACAGCATTGTGGAATGAATCTTGATACAATTGATAAAAGGAAGTAAGTAATATGTTGTCCTACTTCATCCAAAGTTGTTGAATTGTAGTGTCACTCAGTTTCAGTAAAAATCGCTTTTTAAAATTAAATATTGGAATATTTCGAGATTTCCCAAAACTTTTTCTTTTTTACCATACTGAAAGTTATCATTTCAGCTTTCAACAAATGTCGGCACTGCTGGATGCTTTCAACAAAACTTGCCCCACATTTACTCAGCTGGTTAGATTTTCAATCTGAGCTTTTCTTTTCAAAACTTTTATTTCCAGAAGAGAAAAAAATCTAGCTTTTATTTGTTGGATTCATCATAATTATTAAATAAGATTATTTTTTAAACTCACGTGTTATTACATTATTTTTATTCTTCTTTGGTTGCATAAAGTTCAATGCATGTTTTACCAGAATCACAACTTTTTAAATAGATTGTCTTTGTAAGTTAACCTTTGCAAAAGAGGACTTTATGTAGCATTGAAATCGTATTTAGTGCTGTGGTGTCATTTTATTAATTTGCAGATCTTTTTTGCTTTGTTTCCGGAAAATATTTCTTTTTATGAAAATATCCATTTATCCGTATTGTATATTTTGTAGTGGAAAGGTGCAACGAAGCCAGGTGGTGAAATTTGGTCAGCAGAGCGTGCAAATCCAGTATTGTTGAGACAGATCTGTACTAGAGCATACAATCGTGCTGTAGACAATGTGCATCTTTTAAATAATCATTATAAAGCATTCTCATCACAAACCTATGGTGAAACATCATTTGATCGGATGCAAATGATCATTCAAGAAATTGTGCCAAAGGTATGTAAATATTGAATGGAAATAAAATATTTGATAAAGATAGGCTAGTTTAAATACACGTCTTAAAATTTGTAGTTCCCATTCCGAGTGCTCATTTTACTTCAGGTTTTTTCTTTTATTTATTTTTTCTTCCATTTTTAGATTTTAAGGATTCAAATCCTTTATATGTGTCTTTTTAAAAGGTTAATTCATCTTGTGATAACATTAAAGTTACACTTTCCTTATGTCTCTTTTCGGTTTTTCCCGAAGTTTAACGTTTCTACTTGAAGATTGCTGGATAGTTGGATTACATTTTATTCTTTCACATATTAATGACCTTAGTTTGCGTACGTAGTCTTCTTTGTGATTGGTTTTTCTTTTAAAAGAATATATATATCTTATTAGCTCATGCCATCAGTAAATGTTGAGCAAATGATGTTGTTTCAGGATCGGGATGTTTTCGTTGATCTTGGAAGCGGGGTTGGTCAGTTAGTTATTCACATGGCTGGCGGTTCAAAAGTACGAAAAGCAGTTGGCATAGAAATCGCCTCATTGCCAAATCGTTATGCGCAAAATCTTTCCGTTGAATTCAAAAAGTACGTTATTATCCGTTGGATACTTTATATAAAAGAGTAAAACAAGAAAGGTTTTTCAAAAAATGCATGAAAATTACAAGTTTCGGATTTGATTTTTTTCTTTAAATACATACTGTTTTCCAGGTGGATGAAGTGGTATGGTAAAAAATTTAGACCGTTTGAATTACATAAAGGAGATTTTCTGGATGAAAAATTTCGTGATCTGATCACCAAAGAAGCAACAATCATTCTGATTAATAATTTTGCATTTACAGCAGAATTGGAAACTCGCATTAAGAGGTCTGTTGAGTTTTGTACTAATTTGTTTTAGTGGCGTAAGTTTTTAATGAATTGAAATTAGAACTGTAATGAATTGAAATTAAAACTGTAAGGAGAGAAGTAATAGTTTTGTAGTTTATTAGTACAACATCTTTGCGGCTAGCACAATGCAGCTATTTTTTGTATTTAGTCTAGGAATGAAAATCAAAAAAGTCAAGTATGATATTTCGTTTTTTAAGAGAGCTTTTGAGCGAACTTAAAGATGGGACACGAATCATTTCGACTAAACCTTATGGCTTACCGAATCGAACAATCACAGATAGACACTTGAATGGTGCAGATTTCTTTGCATTTCGGTTTTCACAATGATAATACATATTCAGTCATTTTTGCCTTCTGTTTATATGATGCACAAATTTGGATATCTGTATAAATTAGTCCGAATTAAAATTGTCTGGAAAGATGAATTTAATATATTTGATTTACTTGCACAAGTGAAATATTTTATTAGTAGTAACTTTCCTTTGCACATCCTACTTTCTTGACAAAAATCAATTTTTAACGCTGTGAAATGTATATCACAGCCTATTAAGATATGAGAAAAGATTTCATCACTGATTTATCTCTTCATTAAATATTAATCAGTGTTGCTTAATATAAATGGAATGTTACCATACGAATTCAGATATATCAGCAATTTTGGATGTTTTCGAAATGGCACAGTGTGAAAATGCTTGCTCTTGGACGAGCAACTATGTTGCTTACTACCATCATATCATTAATCGAGCTAAAGTAAGTCAATGAAGCGAAGTGCAGTTAGAAGAATTTAGTTATGCGAAAATGTGTACATCCAAATATTGACTATTCCTCATCCGACATAATGGCATTTGTTTGCGACACTCCCTTTTTTCTGTTGTCTTAAAGTCAGTCTAGTGAAGCGTAGTTTGCAACAAGGCATTAGTTCATTTTATTTTTAAATCAATTTGTTTTTTTTTTTTTTTTTTTTTTCGTTTTTCTTTTGAAAAAGATTTTAATTAAATGTAGTGGAGTAAGTAGTAATTAAAGTATATTTCAGTTAGAAAAATATTTTCTCTCGCAACGAAATCCTGCGTTAAAACAGCACAACAGTTCGGATGGTAGTAGACGTTCATCGACATCAAGTAAAACATCGCGCGATAGTTTCCGATGCTGGAGCCGAGAATCTAGTGCATCATTACCGAATAATATATCCAGTACCTTAGTTGGTCGCCGTGGTGCTACACCAACAGTTGGTCGAAGTCATACACCAACTTATCATGAACGTAGTCCAACACCTATTAGTAGGAATAACAAGCGTCCGAATTCAGATCTTTCGGATGATGATGATTATGCGTAAGTTTCAGCATTTTGTCTAAATTTATGAGTTTGAAACTTAAAGACAGTAAATGTATTTGTTGTAATTGTAAACAAAGCCATTAAATAATTCTTGAATTAATAATTGCTAAGGTAATTTGGTCTATGACTAGCTAATAACGCAGGTTGCAGTGCAATAGCTTTCTTTGACTCTTGGAATAAACAGTATCTGTGAATAATGATTACATACTTTTCTATTGGATTATAAGACTGTCTTCAGTATTATACTTCTAGGATCGGTCCAACGACGCGTCGGAAATGGCAGGAATACTGTTCAACAAAAACGAAAGGACAGCGTACAACTTCAACAGCTTCAACAGAGAATGCCTTATCAGTTCGTAGTTCGAAATGGCCAACACCGGATTACGATTATACTCCATCAAGAAAAATTCGCAAAACTGGACAGCGTGGACGGCCTCGTAAAATACCTGCTACTAGCAAGGTTAAGCTTATTTTCATATTTTTTGAAGATAGCGAAAAAGAGTTGGAATTTTGGGCAGTGTGAATATTTCACAAGTCATGTGTACTGAGATGTGGTTTAATTGATAAATTTAACGAGCGAAAGTTGATTTATGATAATATTGGTAATAGATGATTGATTGAGAGATTGCTGTTAATCCTATCTTTATCCGAATACTTTTTCGTTCGAGGAGAACAAGTTTGCTGTTTTATTTTTCTACAGTCGAAAAACTTTCTTATTTCCTACATTGTAGTGAGACTTTAAATAATTGTGACTAATTTTTACATTTAAACTTTAATTTTCGTGTAAAACTCTTAACTCTGATTATTGTTTTGCAGAAGTTTCATATACTGTCTGAGAAAATTCCTATGGTCATTTACTTGTCTTTCCGAAATTTCTGTTCTTTCTCCTCTCATTTCCAATTTCAGTGCGGAATTGAAAGTTTGGGCGTGATTGAATTTTTTGTTTTTGAAGTCTCTTTAAAAAGTTTGGGGACTTCAGCTTGCCACCGGTGAGTTGTTAATGAAATGGAATTATTGGTATTTATAGTATTTTGATGCCTTATACTTCCAATTTTCACATAGAGTCTTTTCTGGTAATTTTAGTTTGCCTAACTTTACAGTGCTTGCTCCAAAAATTGAACCGAAAATCAGCTTTTGGATATACATTTTATTTGATGCTCCTGTTCAATTCCTTTGATTGGTGAGTGCATGATGAAGATGAAAAATGAGTCGAGAATTGGAAGTTTTTCCTATTCTCGACTTCATTGTGCGCTCACAAATCTTTCTCAAAACTCATTAAGGACATTGAATGCGTAAGTCAGACAAACATTCTTTGGTTTTAGCCATATTTTCGACTGATTTTTAGACCAAAGTGTCAATATTACAAATGCCATTAATAAGGAATGTGAAATTGAAGGAGAAAAGAAGAGAGCAGGAAGGAGAGGCGAACATAAAAAGGAGAATGGTAGAACACGTTAACTAAGTACTAATCAGTGTCCGAGTTAGGATGTGTAACAAATGTTCAGTTCATTCTTTTTTTTAAATTAATACCAAATTTTTGTCACACATATGTTGCTGAAAAATTCTAATGATGTGACTTTTGCAACCTGAAAAAATTGAAATGTATCTTAGTAGTGTTCTTTCTTGAAATAGGTAGGAAATTTTGGACAATTTTTTCATACTAAAATGATGAAATTAATGTTAATAGAAAACTGTCGGTAATTTGACGGCGCTTTATCTGTGTATTCTAGTGTAAAAAGTACAGAATGCACCCCTCCAATCTATTAGTCACTCACCGAATTAATAAGTTATGCAATTTTAGTCAGTATTAATTGATCATCGAGTTATCCGATTAATCGATCATTTAGTGATCCGTTTATCAGTTCACTAAAACAGTCCTGCATCATTTATCTTTGCTCTATCATTAGTTTTTCGGTCCATTGGCTATTTTGATTGCAACTTCATTTTTTTCTAAATGGAAAAAAATTAATGTGTATAATTGTTAGGAAAGGGATAAAAAAAATGCAAATGTTATGGTTTTTGGTTCTGTATATCTTTCTTCGTCTAAACAATATGATTATGCGAACTTTTTTTGTTGTTATTGTTGAAAGGGCGAAGTGGATTGGAAGCTTAATCGTTAACGACAAGCTCTGTGCTGTACTCTATGTGTATGTGTGTTTGTTTGTTTGTTCTACTTCTCATCTTTTCATTCATGATACAACTGCATTTAAAACTGTATGTCTGTGCAGATAAATATGTTTATATATATATGTGACTGGGTGCATGTGTGTATGTATGGGTTGTGTATGGGTGTTGATGTTGTATACTATAAAGAAATGCAAATTTTTAACCTTTTTTTTGCATCAGTTTTGGGAAATTTTTCAGGCTTTTGCTGATGATGAAACTCGGGAAACAATCGATTTGATGCATCGTATGACTCGTACAGCAACCACTCATACTGCATCACCGGTACCTGATCCATCACTGGTATATGTATCAGATATTTCACATCCAGAGGAGATGGATCGAGATGTACTGGATCAGGCAGTAAATGATGATGCAACGATAGAGAATAAACCAGAATTATTGCTGCAACAAAGCAAATATCCAGCATTGAATCAAATGCTTGGTAAATATTATTTCAATATATGGTTTTGTAATGAGCTAAGTTAATCGAAATTTCTTTTTCTGTCATGGACTAGTCTCATTTTTTTTAACTTGAATTTACTGGTTACAATATGTTTATTTATTTATTTTTTTTTTTAGTTTAATTTTTAAACACTGATTATTTCCTGGGTAGTTGTGTTCATTCCTTTTTTGATTCTAATTTATAGGAAATATTTCACTATAGTTTTTGAGTTTTAAAAAAATAAAAACAAAACAGTCAGACGTTCAGAAGATGTTCCTATAGTTCGTTGGTAGCAGTACCGAAAATATACAATGTAAAGTATGACGAAACCAGAGGATACCATTTTCTGTTGTTCAATTTTTCATTTCGAATTATGCTTTCTTTTTATTCATAAATTCAGCTGTCCTTTTTTTCTTTTTCGAACCAGATGCTAGGATTAATGAATTTGTAACGAAAAACGTAATTCATTTTTTTATGATTTCTGAAAGGTTTCTACGAGTTTCATACTTCAGAATCGATGCGCATTATGTTCGAAGCACAACTGGAAAAAATGAAGGCAGAGAATTTCGCAGATGATATTAAGGCTCAAATTGAGCTGCAAAAGGTTTGCTTAATATATTTATTTTGCTTAAAAACTGAAATAAATCTACTTTGTACAGTTAGAATCAGGCAGTGATTCATTTAAACCTCCAGAATTATTTCAGTCATATCGAAATTTGTTGCGATCTCGAATTGATGCTATAACAAAACAAATAACAAATTTGCGGTCATCGGGTATGAGCTGTTTTTATGCACGAATTGAAGAGCTAGGTATTGAGGCATCGACACCAAGTTTGTTGCTGGAAAATGCGAAAGAAATTGTTGCACATCACAAAAAAATAACGGTTGGTTTTTGAATTGAAAAAAACATTTCTGATATTTTGCAAAAATTGATATTCTTATTCGATATTATTAGACTTGTGCGACAAAACGGAAAATAAAAGCAAAGAAATATAATCAGATTTTGAGCTCTGTATCTGTGTTAAAAAGATTTTTATCTTTGCATTTTTTTTTTTTTGATGCTAAATTATACTAATATAGCGTAATTTTTAAGGCAGAATGTGCAGCCCTGGAAAGTGAAATTACTGCTTTAGAAATGTCCAATCAACAATTAGAAATTAAAGTACGTCGGCGGGAAGAATTGGAATCTGCCAAAAATACAAATAATACTGCCACGCTTTCAAATGCCAACAGCCAGTTGTTAAATTCGCTTTGTGCTGCCAATTCCCTGGTACTTGCTGAAAACTTCCAAGCTCTGACTGCACACAACAAAAATTTATTGAATCGAGTGGCGCAACTTGCAGATAAGGTCAGATTCATTTTCATCATCGACATATAAGATGTATTAAATATTTACACATTTTTTTATCTTCTGAAAATCTAAAAAAATTGGCATAAAGAATAATTTATGTGTTGTACTTCACCGCTCTCATGTTAGGATTAAATTTTGAGAACTGTGAAGGATTTTTTTTTTTTTAATTCGTATCTTTAATTGAGAATATGAATGTTACAGGAACCGAACTATCCTCTATCTAATATGCCAATAGCACATTTTATTTTGTCAAAATATTTTTAGAGTGATATTATCGGAAACGCTACTACAGATGTCAATAATCATGGAACATCAGCACAAGATGGACTTCTGTCACCACAGTCGGATAGTGCCGTACTGACATTTTCATCCGCTCCAGGTAGTGAAATATTTAGTGTGTTCTAGAATCCAACAAAAGATAAATCTGTTAACTACAAAATCGAATTTTCGGTTTACGAAATAAAGTGCACATATGAAATTGGTGTTCGCAACAATACATATTTAAGGTGGTTTTGGACATCAGTCTTCCACTCAGTCGACCTTAACTTCACTTTCTGTTGGTGCCACTCCACTGAAACGTTCTCGACAACGCCAGATCCGGAACGGCGTTGCCAAAAAACCACTTTCTGGGTCCAACAAACAACCTAGTGATCCGAAAGAGGATGAGGAAATGGAGCGGAAAATTCAGGATATTGTTGCGAAAGCTTTAGAAGTAAGATCTGATTGCCGTCCAAACTGTTTTTTATATTTTAAATTCGATATCTTTTAATTTAATCCACATCACATCGCTTTTTACTTTGGTGTAGCTATGTGCGTTAACAGTTTGAAAACAAAAATTTCAACGTATTAGCGGTTGCAAAGTTTAAAGTTTATCAATATGTTTATGGTTACTGATTTTAAACTGAATTTTTAGGTAGAAATTCCGATTGCAGGAATATTTCATTTCAGGTAGACAGTGCTGCAAAATGTGCAGAAAAAGAACGACGAGCACGAGGTGAAAAGCGTAAAGAAAAAAGTATAATACCCGGGAATGTGCGTTCGATAGCTGACGTGACAATGCCTTCCGTAACCCTTTTGTCGTCATCGGAGAAACCAGCTACACTATCTTGCGCCCCTGCGTCTACATCCATAACAAGTGATAGTGAAGGTCGAATTTCATGTTCTGCTTCTTACACGTTAACAAAAAATATTGAATCCAGCGACAGTGTCAGGTCTTCTGTTGATGAGTAAAATACGCATTTCTGTGATATGTTATTGTGGATTTTCAAAGAGTTGAGCTAATGAAGAATTAGTAAAAAAAATTGGAGTAAAAATTTGCAATAGGAATGAAATTTACAATAAAATTTACGAGCAAAACTAAATAATTGGCTGGATAAGTACCTTGATTAGAGCAGTTTATTTTTATCCATAATTGGAACAATACAATGGAAGAGAAATAGTATCTTTTCATTCAGCAAATTCAGATTATTTCCAGAAAAAAAAACAAATAAGATGAAATGTTAGAATAAAATGAAAATAACAGGTAATAGGAGGAGGATCTCAGCTTGCTACAATTTTTTTTTCTTACCATTTCTGATGCTCAATTCTCAATAACTCTACTACTGCCAGTTCTGTGTTCTAGGTTATTTTCACTTTTTACTGCTTCGTTAGTTAATTTCGACTTCATTTTTAGAAGAAAATATTTCTTCTTTCACTTTTTTTCAGATTGAAGAATGCTCAAATTTAAATTTTTAGTTGATATCCTCCAATACTTTATTTTGAATTCCGATTAAACTTTCAAGAATAACGGATATATACAGGGCTTTCTATGGCGCAGAAGTTTTTTTGTTATGTCATCATGTAACGATGCCTTTCAGAAATGTTTTGTATATAAAGTGCATCCGGATTTAATGTTTCAAGTATTGTTTGTGGCTACCTTGTTTTGTTAAAAGGTACTATTATTTGGTTGGTGGTATTTCAGTTAGTATTTGTCTTAATTCCAAATTTTGCATTTCAGTTTTAAATAGAATTAGAATAATTATGCTATAGAAGTCTTGATGATACTTTGAAATGACAAAAAGAAAAATCTTCTAAGTCTTTATGGAATTTTTGTTAAATTTTATGTTTCATCAATGTAACTAAAAGTTCCGCATCCGTCTTAGTTATTTCAGCAATCCGGTGTTTTTCTCAGGCAAATAAAAATTGATTATTGACATTTCTTTTCGAAGCATTTGCAAATAATCGAACAATTAAAAACTGAAATCGAATAATTAAAAATAACAATAAAAATTAAAATGAAATGGTTATCAATTTGCTTCTACTTTTTAGCATTCAATTATTAAACTTGAAACTGAAGATTATTAAATTTTTAGACTTTTATACATCCCTTAATTCTCAAATGAAGATTGTATGTACAATTTAAGTCGTCATATTTAGGGCAAAATACATGTAAAAGATCATAGCAGCAAAAAGAATTCAAAAATACAGCGGTCAAATTTAGATTATACATTCACGACAAACACAAGCTTAGTCCTTCTAATTTTTCGTTAATTTCTTAATAAATTAATAATGACCGATTTATTTCTTATATGAAATTGATTTTACATATTTCAATCATAAATTTCGAAAATGATCATAAAGGTAATCGTTGAAAGGTGTAAGTAAGTTAGGTGAAGTGTTTGTTTCTAATAAGGTATTTGTTTGCCAGTAGTGAGAAGAGTTGATTGGTTGGTGTAAATCTCGAAATTGAAGATGAAAAAGAAAGTTCGAGTATTTTAAAAAATAAATGGAAACAAAAGAGAAAGAATAAATGAAGAATTATTCTCCAAATATCATCAAAAAAGGGAACGGCAGTAAAGACTGAAGTTGTTGTTACTGTTGTTGAATGTTTCATAGAAAAAAAAAAAAAGTTTAAAAGCGTTAGAATTGATCGGATTGAAAGAATTAATTTCGAGAACTAAATGAATTTAAATATAAAATCTGTTTTTTACACATCCTTCTGCCGCCTTGATTGTTTTCGTTTTGTTGCAAATTTAAAAATATATCAATTTTAAATTTTGGATGCATCTTATAAATTATTGCTTTTATTCGTTTTAAAATATTTTGATTTTAAACTTTAGAAAAAATTTTAGAGAAAGATGTATGCTAATTTCACACTATTTATTAAAGCATTTATGGCAATACTTTTAAAAAGCATTTATGCAATACTTTTGCTTTTAAAAAGAAAAATCCCTTAGAATTTTAGAAAAGAAAACGAAAATAAGTGATAACTCTAATTCTTGATCTCATTACAACGCAAGGGAGTTGTCAGTAAAGTAGTTAAATATGTGTTACCGATTTTTTTTTTTTGCCTTTTCTTGTTTTTCCCTGATTTTTCTTCATAATTCCTCTCATTCCTTTTGTTTTTTTTCAAATTCCAAAATTTTTCATAAATAAAAATTTCAAATTACGAAAAACTTTTCCTTTCTTCTCAAGCATACAAAATTTTTCTTGCTATTGTAGAATTTGATGTAACTTTTTTTCGACAAAATAAAGTGCCATTAAAAAATAGATAAGTTTTTTTTTTTTTGCAATATTGATTTTATAGCCTATAATTTCTTCCCATCAATACAACAGTTTTGTTTTCTTTTTTTAGAACTGTTATATCTGTTCGACTTTACTTCACTGATAGTGTTCGGTTGATAATCATTTCTTTTTTTCGTGAAATCAGATCAGATCAAGAACACTGATCGATAATTGATCGATAACGATCAATTATCATCCACTCGTCTATTGTTTTAGCTTCACATTCATAACTATATGTAAATTGTTTCCAATTACGCTACCGGTTATGTCATTTCATTAGAAAAAAAAGTTTTTTTTTTTAAATTATTGCCGCTTACTCTCTGACATTAACTTGCCTTAACTGTTTAATGTACATAATATAACAATATGTAAGATATCACGTGACAAATTCCGAAAAAAACAGAAAAATCTTGGAATTTAGCTTAATTTTCTAAAAAATAATTGAATCTAGAAAATCCGTATTTTTATCATTCATTTCAATCGCTATTTGTTATTTTGTTTTTTATATGAATCAAAATTTTTTGTATGAATTTTGAATGAATCAAAACATTATCTCGATTAAATTCACTGTAGAACATAAAGAAATTTATGTTTCATCATTCCTAATGAATATATAAATTCGAACTTTTGAGTTCAAATTCAAATTCGGATCTAAAATTCAAATTTCTGCCTATCATAAAGCTTCTCCTTCCACTGATAATATTCCAAACTTAATGAATAGCAAGAGAGAAATGAAAGGGCAATGAATAAAAAGAATCGATATGAGTTGGATTAATAGTAGACGCGGCAATGTCGCACAATGTTCACTTTAATGTCTCAAAAATATCAAGCAAAATTGGCAAGGTAATATTAAATGTTAGAAAGTTGAACTTTTTTCTTTCATTCTTTTCCCACTATTATAAGATCTTTCCGAGAAAAAACTAAACATTTGCAATTAAGTTTATGAAAATAAGGTTAAGAAACGAGGAAAATCCATATTAAATATATGAAATAAACCAAAGAACAATTAATGACAATTATATAAATCAGTTTAAATAAGCACTTCCATAACGATGTCAATAAATTAAACCAATAAGTAAATTAATAAGCTCCTACAAAATAAAAATATTTTGGTGAAACAAACTAAAAATATACAGAACTGTTTGTTTAAAATAATAATAAAGTTAACTATGATTAATAATTATAATATACTTCATAAAAACTTTTTTCTTTTCTGTTTTTTAGAAGAAAAAGAAAGAAGGAAAAAGCATAAACGTTTCAGTATATTTTGTTTAGATTTCATGGAAATTTGAATCTGAATCGAAAAAAAAAGGAATGATAACAAATCTGTGAAAAAAAAATAAATCGAATGATAAATTTTTACGTATGCATACAATGTGCCATACGCAATTTGCGTCATATATGACGCGAACCTTTTCTTAAGTAATTGAATTAAAAGCATTTCCTTGCTTATAGCGCTCACTCTGAGAGCAAACTATCGCAAAAACAACCAAGATGAAAGAAAAAGAATAAAATATTGGAAATGTGAAGAGTATTCCTGACCCAAAAATTTTTCATAAACGCTCATGTAGACTGGACACTGGCCGCGATTGAAAATAGCCGCTTTATTTTTTCCGATGTAAGTTATTCGGTGCGGGATTTTGTCTCCCCTGACTTGTTTTTGGCTTATTACTTCAACAAATCAAATGAAACTTATTGCTTGAATTTAATTTAATGAAACTTGATGAAGTTTAAGTTCTAATCGAAATTTTTGATGTTTGATTGAAAACACTTAAATGAAGCATAAGTATTAATGTTTAAAGTAAAGTTGGTGGAGTCAGATGCTAAATGGAAAGAGGCAAATACAAAATGTTAAGCTTACCAGCTTTCGGAAACATCATGTATGTAAATGTCTTAGGATTTGGTATAACTTACGTTGCCAGTTATGAAACTATTTGCTGACTCATCTTTGCTTATATTAAACCTGAACTTAATTCCAAAATTTGCTTGATTTTGATTAAGCTTATTCCGATTCCTTTTAATTTTGACCAGGTTTTCCTTGATTTCAAATCCAGTTAGTCCAAACTCATTAATCTAGTTAGTTAATGGGCGATTTATCAGCTTTAAGTTTTGTCTTATTTTTAGTGGAATTTGTTTTGATTGTTCTTTAGCTACTTGAAATTTAGTATCGATTTTTCCAGTTATAGTCTTCATTCTTATTTCTTCTCAAATAAACAGAATTCTGGATTCCATTTGTTCTTGTCTTATTTTTTTCTTCAAAACTATCTTTGTCTAAGATTAGTTTTTGACATTTCAGGGAATTAAAGTTGGTTATGATGTATTGTTAAAAATGGACATAGGCACTAATGAACTTACACGTCCATTTCGAATTCCAAGGCGGAGAACTGGTGAAAATAGCGCAGCGGATGGTATACCGGATAAGGTGAGCTAGTGTGTGGTCTTATTTCGAAATCTTACATTGGTGCATTAATTTGGGAAAATGTGCAAATTAAACAAGTTTATAAGTTATTTAGCAACTCATTAGGTAAGTAAATTTAGTCTAAGGCTGGTGTATATGGTCAGAAAGGGACTAAAAAAGGAACCAGCAAGGTAGGTTAAATATGTTTTCAGTGACTGTTAATTTAGCTGAACGCGGTGGCAAAGATTGGGTGATAAACTCTACTGTTGTTTTTTTATCATAAATTTAG